CAGACGAGGACGATTACTCATCTCGCTATCCTTGTTTCGGTGGGACTCCTGGTGTGAGGAGGGATATAGGGATCAATCTATAGAGAAAAATTAAGACTCTGGTAGCTTACCAAAACTTTTGGGGGACGCAAAAAAGATGCAGCTGGAACGAAGAACTAAAGTTAAAGGGATCGTTGAACAATGTTAAATCTGAGATACACGGCCCTACATGTAATCAGTGTCTGTGATATGGTGTAGTATTGAAGCCCTAAAAAAAAATGCGCGTCAATATGATCAAGAAGTGCCTCAAAAAAGTAAAAATCTTTGACTGACCGGTTTTACCATACCGGTACTCGTTTTTCCCAATAGACTGTAGTGTTATGAAAACAGTTTGGCAAACGTTTTTCAAATTTTGTAATTCTAATCATAAATATCTTGATAATCAGACAGGTGATCGGCTTGTAAAAGTCTTGTGGTTCCTGACTGACCTAAAGGTTTAAAATTATCATTTGCAGCATGAGCTAAATTTATTTTCAGAATCTGAGACAAAGTTACCAGATCCCTTTAAAGTAGATGCATTTACACTGCAACCAAAGAATTTTCTCACATTCCAGAGTTTCGCCAGTAGTTGCATAGCAACTACCGAAGTTTCACAGATTTTTGCAGTGTAAACGCAAATTTTGGTTTGATCCAAAATATTTGCTCACATGACTCTCCTCACTTCAGTACTAACGCATGCAGCGCATTTTAACCAGGGCTTTGTGCCGCAAGGGTCCTGGTGAACCTAAACCTCATGTTTTTTCATTTTATTTCATTTCATTTAACTAAAGGCAATGGCCTGTTGATTCGGTCTTGAACTCTGGACCTTCAGGCTGAAAGACACTGATGAACATGTACTGTGTCTTGTTATGTGCATTATTAATACTTCAGAATGAAATGTGCATTTACTCGAACTACATTACATCCAGGTAATGACAAAAAAAGTCTGAGCGTTGGTTAGGTGGGCAACTTGCCAGAAGAATTTTCAAGACATCCATCCCGATTCTTGGGTATGGAATCCTGATGGAATCTCGGGTAGCCACTTGAGACAATTATGACAAGACAGACATAATTAAAAGTATCTAAACTAAAGTTTGTAAAACTTTGGCTGCTAAGAGCTGGAAGGGTTTAATGACTCATTAAACACCAATTAATGTGGACAGACATACATGTATTAGGAGGTTAATTGAATGTATTTTTTTGCCCTTAACTGTTGAGACATTGCATGGTGCTGAACGATGCGTGACAAAGGAATTATTCTAATGTATCCTCTTAAAAAGCATTAATTATGCTTTCACATGATTATCTTTTTTAGTTGTTGCTGGTAAACAGTGTCTTTCCCCTATAATGTTCGTGTAAATTTTAGTTCCCTTTTTTTTATTGAAACACCCTATACAACTGCAATTATTCTTCACAACTACAAAACAATTATCAACAATTACAAAACCATTACAGACATCATGTGTTTGCAGGAGTGCACAGTATAAGAAACCCCTCCAAAAAATGTCCTCTCTAAAGTTTTTGAACATTTAAGATTGGTTTTTATTGGAACACTCTTTACAACTGTGAAAATATTCTTGACAACTACAAAACAATTATCAACAAGTACAATGTACAAGCTCATTGTAGGCATGTTACAGCGGGGGTGCACAGTGTATATAAGAAGTCTCTTAGTAATTGAACCGATAGTGATCAAATTGCTAACCATCGTCTATTTTCCTACCCAAGAGATTTGGCAGGAAATTTAATGAGAGGCACCCATGTTTGTGTCGATTCCTCAGTAATTGCTTGGTAGCATTAATTATTCATTTTTCTTTGAAGGCTAGACCAAAAGTAGTTGGTTATTAATTTTGTGTAAATTAACAGGTGTAAGTTTGTATTTAATTCACCCTGCGTGTGCTGAGGGTTTAGTGATTAAAAATTACACACATGTAGGTTAAATGCTTTTCATAATGTTTGTATGATTAAGATACATGAAACGAACAAAATAGGCAGTTTTTCTTCTTCTTTTTCTTCCCTTGTTTTTTTTTATTCTTTCAATTGTTTTAATGAGTTGTGTCGTTTTGTAACTGTGTTTCATTTAGGGTATTATTCCTTCCAATCGACCTACTTGTAAACAGGTTTAGTTCCCCTTGAAATCATTCTTTACTTGTGAATAATCTATTTATATAATCTGCCTTAAAAATAAGTTGACTTGATCAAAAGGTGACTCTATAGAGGGGCAAGTTTTAATAGGCCAAACTTTGTATTTCCTCCTCATATGTTACCAAAGAGTTTAGAATAGGCCTACCGGTATGTTAAAGCTATTGTTCAAATTGAATACTTTCTGATGTGTACTATAAACAAATTGACAATATTCCATATTCCTGGGTAGCGTATAAGAAATTAAAAGACCAAATAACCTGGACTTGCCTGTCAGCATTAACACTTTCATATGGAAGTTCTCTATGATATTTCTTTTTGAAAAATAGTCTTTCCACTCTGCAATTTTGACTTACAGTATAAAGGCAGTTCTTTGCACTTTATCGATTCAACACAATGTTTTCTTGAACTTAGCTACCCTTTCTCTCTTCCTCTATGTCTACAAGGGTCTTCCTTTTCTTCTATAATTAGCTTCCCCCTTCTCTTGTGGACCCGTGCCTGTGGTCATATTTCCATGGTTGGTTAATTATAGCCTACATGTACAGCAAGAACAATGTACAGTCAGTACACATAGGCCTGGTCGCTTACTAACAAGCATTTATGCTTTCTTAGCAGTCAGGTAAAATAACCACCGCACACATATATTTTGTCATTTTGATGGTACAGACAGGAATAAATAGGAATTTATTTGAATTTATGCCTCGTACAGGATAAGGTCCTTCAATACCTAGGTGTTATTACATGATTCACACAGAAATGCCCATTGTCTTGACATTTTTTTCAGAATAGATTCTGAAATTTAAAAATTACACTTTGTTAATTTGTCCAAATATGTGTACTGTACATGTATGTAATTGTAAACTTGTAAAGCAAATGTCAACTTTCTTGGAAAAGGCCAATATCTTAAAAAACTGAGGGTTGTAATGTAAAAATATACCGTTTCTGTATTGCATTTGAATAGATTACTAGTGTACTTCATTAGACCATTTTTGTTATGAAATCAAATTCAATGCAAAAATATTTGTTTAGTGCCATGTTTACATGTAGGTGCCATATTTAAGTGGCTTATTATAAATTGTTTCATTCTCCTGTTACAAATAATTATATTTCAATAGTCAGAATGTGAATTGCGTACAGTAATTGTTGCTAGGTAGGACAAACATCAAGGCTTGTCTACCTCACAACCTGGAATGTATGCAATTACCATTCTGACTATTAAATATAATTATTTATAACAGGTGAATGGATTAATTTGCAACTGGGCACTTTAAAAAAAGACTTGCACATTAAATTTGATTACATTATGAAAATGGCCTATTATTATGCATTTTTGTTCCCAGAACCCCTGTTTAATAATTCACTTGCTATGCATATTGAATCTGGATAAATGGAATCACTTTAAATACTATAGCTTTTGCATGAGCCTGATAGGCTGTTGCCAAAATGACAGAGTGTCATCATAATTTTGACAACATTCCAACAGTGGCCTACATGTATTACAGTTTAATTGGTCATTTCTGTTATGCAGTCAAATTTATTGTAAACATCTTTGTTAAGTGCTTAGTTATTTCAATCACCTGTTACATATAATTGTATTTCAATAGTCTGAATACCAATAGCATACATGACATGTTGTTAGGCAGGGTTTGCCCTTCTATTAAAGCTGTATGCATTTTGCACTTACATGTAACAGGTCAATGTAATGGCTTCTTGCTAGAAAACTAGTATGAATTTGAATACATTTTGATAAGGCTTATTGAAGTTAGTTGTATTGTAGCCCAAGTGTATGGAATCTCATTTCCTCTACCGGTAGACCATTTTCGTAATGTAATCAAACTGAGTGCACAAATCTTTGTTAGGTGCCTACTGCCTCATTTCATTCACCTGTTACGAATAATTGTACTTCAATAGTCGAAATGCAAATTGCATACATTCGTCGTCGTTGCTAGGTAGAACAAACATTATGGCTTGTCCTTCCCAACAACACATAATGTATGCAGCAATGTAGAAGATATAACAAAAGCGAATCAGCCTCATGCATGCAACATGGATTCCATTTAAAGACATGACATTATGCACAGCAGGTGAATTGAATTGATCGTATCAGTAAAGAGGGGTTGTGGAAAGAAACCTGTTAATTAAGAGACATTTTGTAGGCGGGTCTATAAAAATCCACTTCATGGTAGTGCTTTTGCTAATGAGCCAGTTCAAAGATACACCCTGCGCATGGGCAGATAAAGGTAATTTTTACCCAAATTGTAAAACCCACCAAGAGGAACACTAGATAAGTGCTCATGAAAGTAATGTTTTTCAGGTGGAAATATTCTTCTCAAGAGGGCAAACAAAAAGTATTCATGAAGCACATCCACAAGTTTGGCAGTGGTAATTCTGAAATGCACAAAGTAGGACTACTCTGTGTCTAAAAGATCTGTAGATTTGGAGTCATTTGTACTAATTACAAACTGGTTTATTCGGTGAGTATTTTCTGTTGTATCAGTAAACCTGCATGTACAGTAGTCAGGATATTTTAAGCTGGCAGTGCTTAAAATTTAGCTAAAGTACAATAGTTTATCAAGCAATACCTCTAGACAAGATGTAGTAGCGCTAGTGGCACTTGTAGAAGCGTGGTGCTCAAGTTCATTAGAGGTACACAGATGGCATTTCATCCAATTCTGTTTGGAGCCAGAATAGCATTAACTCATGAACTGTGTTACATTATATGAGTTAATGCTATTATGGTTCCAAATAGATGATTTAACGATTGATCTATGACTGGCAATTGATTGGCAATCTTAATTGATATTTGTACCATTTTTCCCCTTCTTTTCTGCGACATCTAGAACTGTGCTACAAGTATGGAAGGCACTGCTGGACGAGACGGAGAAGATAGGGAGAGTAAGATTGACAGCCTCAGAATCAATCAGTACACAGATCATCGATACCATCAAGATACAGAAGAACACAAGAACAAACACACTGAAAAAGGTAAGTGAGGAGAAAGAGGAAGAGAAGTAAGAAGTGATGATGGTGGTGGTGGTGGTGGTGGTGGTGATGGTGATGGTGATGGTGATGGTGATGGTGATGGTGATGGTGATGGTGATGGTGATGGTGATGGTGATGGTGATGGTGATGGTGATGGTGATGGTGATGGTGATGGTGATGGTGATATTAGAGGAGGTTGCATAAAATGAATCGAACTTGGTGATGGAGGTTGTGATTAACAAAATAGCTAATACAATTCAGAGAGAGCAAATAGAGTATGTAGATGGTACAAACTAGATAACTTTGTGTATGTAAAGTAGGACCCCTACGTGAAAATGTTTGATTTCTGAGCTCATACATAAGTATTTACTTGCCATTTCGCTAAATAACATCCCAAGAAATGCATGCACACTCCCCAACGCACACATTGTGTGCACCATCATCTCTCAGCAGGTATCTATCTTTCCAGCCAAACAAGCGAATCGGTGTATAAGTACAAGGGTGATGTAATCAATGACATCAAGTGAGGGGATTTCCCTTTCCTTTCCCCCTCTGTCCCTGAGGAATCACTCTCCCAACTGAACTTTTAAAAGATCTCCCTGGCTATCCCAAGTGAGTCATATTGTGGAAATTGAATTGCTGCCCAGGCAAAATATCCTCTTCATTTCATTACGGAAACAGAATCAGCATTTATATAGTTTTACAATTACGTTGAGTGATGGTTATGGAGTTGACTTTGAGAGAAAATTGACTTAAATTGATGTTGAATTGTTTGTCATAGAGAAGATAGGTTGTTTGAATGGGCAAAATAAGAACACACCGATGATGATAATGTGCTGAAAATCACATTTATTGAAAAGTACAACTAAGGTTATTATGTAAGTGTGTCATCATTACACTAACATGTGCATGGATATAATATAGGTCAATATTTCTTTTGCTCATTACTCACCTTTCTACATTTCATACTGAAATCATTGGGAATATACCATCTCTGTGTATTCCAGATCATTTAGTGTAACTCTTGTTTGATTCCATGAATCATGAGAATTTAATTTCCATCATTTTGAAATTACCCTCATTTTGAAATTACCCTGAACTGTTTTGACTCAGTTATTGCCATTACTTTACAAAGAGTAAGTTTAGTTAAGTTGAGTATTTCTATTCAAAGTATAAAAGGGAAAGTATAGATCTTTATCTGAAAACATTTATTATGTTTGATTCAAAATATCAATAAATAAAATCATATTTTTGACTTTATATATGCTGCAAATGTGTGAACTCCTATATATAGTCAGAACTATTTTTTTCCATACATTTGAAACTGAAGTGTGGACGAAATTTCAATGCAAACTGCAAACCTACATACAAGAACAAATAATAAAGCAAAAGAAAACATCAGCAACTTCATATTAGTCAACTGCTCCTTAGTTTTATGATGTATTGTGTGTGACCATTGCTATGTAAACCAATTATCACCTGTAATCATGTTGGCACGTGGGTTTAGTGTTTACTTTTTGAAAAGGAAAACATATATCTATCTCAGTTTAAATACAAATAGTGCAATGTACTACTGTATGTGGACCATGCACTTTGTCCAATAAAGAATTATTACAGCCATCTATTTTTAGGACACTGAAATTTTGGAGTTACATGTGGAAATTTTTTCCAGAGGACGTGATTATATTGTATTCATGTGATTGGAATAATTTGATCATCAGGCTTAAAATAACTTTGTGGAAAGATGAAATGAATTACAGGAAATTTCCAGTATTCATTATAAATCCTTTTATAGTGAAACCTGTATATGAAGACTGATCAAGGAATACAAAAGTGATCTTTATATGAAGGTGATCTTTATATACAGGTTATACAGATTCATTTTTGTACATATTTCAATAAGAAACGTTCAAGGGAAACATAAAATGTGTTTTTTCAACAAGTGGCCTCTCTAAACAGGTGGTTTCTAGAAAAGGTTTCAATGTATTGCATTAATATGCATTTTACTGTAATAAAGTAACATTTGGATATGGAAGTTGATTCCTCTTGAATTCATCTAAAAGTGTTAAAAATACAGTAGTTAGATATGGGCTTCTTTTCTTTTTACCTAACTGCAGGTAATTACAGGTAATGTGCACTCGAGAAAGATCTGTGCATTTTTAAACATATACAGAGCTTCATTTTTCAATTAAGGACTCTGATCTTGCTTTATATAACAAGGGAGAAGAATATTAAGGCATATTTGTAGCACTTGATAAATAAATGTATGAGACAACCTTTTTAGTAATTGGCTATTATTATTACTGTCCTTCTACTTAAAATGCCATTGAACCTCTCTAAATTAAAGGGCATTGAATACATCACCAATTGTAGTTTTTAATCAAATAATTGGAAATTGAACGTGAAATTAGCTACAGGCTGTATGAAGCATTTTTGTTTAATTAAAAAAACAAAAAAACCTCTGTAACACATGAAAAGAATGAATATGGATTGACTTATTTAAAACTGAAGGTTGACAAAACATACATTGAAACCTGCTTTAGCAACCATCTATATAGAAAGCCCATTTGTCTTTAAAAACCACACTTTCTGTTTTCTCTTGTTTTCCCATTGAAATGTGAACTAAATGAACCAGTACATAAAGAGCACCTGCCTCTAAAGACTGCTTTTCTAGTCTCCCTTGAGTGGTCTTTATATACAGGTTTCACTTTAAGACAACAAAAGGGTAGGACAAAATACAACCTTCTTCCCATGCAATACAAGCTACTGATCAAATGGCAGCTGCATTGATTGCCAGGAATCATTAACATAATGCAGAAGTTGAGTGTTCTATAAATAGACATGATGTGACCAGCGTGGCAGCACTGTTTGCTTTGCCATCTAAAGATCCGTCATTTTATGGAACAGTTAATAAAGTAATAGCTTCCAGGAAAATTAGGTTTTCCCCATCCTTTAAAACACTTTATTTGAAAATCTCTTTTTAAGATTCAATTTTGAGTTGTTTTTCCTATCCTCTGAAACATACACATTTTTTTTCTTCAAGTTACATTTATTGAGGAGGTTGGTGTTGTCTTTGTATTGAGGTAGAGACACAATCAGGTGAATTGAATGGGAAAAGGAAAAGAGGAAGGGGCACCACTTTTGCCTGGAAACGAGGCTACTTGTTGCACCTCACCTCAGAATCAAATTGTGAGAAAGGTTGAAAACTGTACACATACATGTACCTGTTATGCCATGTGAATGCAATCTAAAAAGACCAGTAGATTTACAATGTAGTACATGTCCTAAAACAAAATAAAAGCAGAAACTTCAATTCTAGTAAGGCCCAGGTTCATTCTTTATCATCTGCAAAATTTATTTTGAATAATAGTTATGATGATGATGATGATGATAATGATAATAATAATAGTTCATTTTTCTATTTCATTCTTTACACAATCTGATAAAATACATACAAAACAACCTATTATCATTACAGTGCAGTAAAGGTATAGATATTCAATAACAATAATAGGTAAAATACAAAGTTGCAATAGATAGAATAAATTAAAAATATATCAAAATATGGATGATCAACGGGGAAATGTCTATTACAGGCTAAAAGTAGGTGAAATTAAGATAAAAGTTACAATGATGATGATGATGACGATGACTATATGATGATGATGATGATAATGATTGGTACATAAATTCAATATACAGATAACACCATTATTTTCCCTTTGCAGTGTGGAGATCTTACAAATGCATGGCATGAAGAGGTCCAAGCCAGCGTCAGAGAGCTGATCAAAGCGAGAAAGAACTATGCTGATGCAGAGAAGATAGCACAGGATGCCAGAGGCAAAGCAGCAGAAGCGGAAAACAGGTGAGAAAATATATTCCAGAATGAATATCATGTTTTTAATAATGTCAGGTGTAGTGTTAGGAGGGGATGGGAATTATGAAGGGAATGGGGGGGGGGGGGGAGAGAAAGAGCTATGCTGATGCAGAGAAGATAGCGCCGGATGCTAGAGGCAAAGCAGCAGAAGGGGAAAATAGGTGAGAAAATATATTCCAGAATGAATATCATGTTTAATGTCAGGTGCAGTGTAAGGAGGGGAAGGGAATGAGGGAGAGGGGGGGGGGGGAGGGGAAGAGCTACATGTATGCTGATGCAGAGAAGATAGCACAAGATGCCAGAGGCAAAGCAGCAGAAGCGGAAAACAGGTGAGAAAATATATTCCAGAATGAATATCATGTTTAAAGTCAGGTGCTGTGTTAGAAGGAGAAGGGAACATTCATTAAGGCAGGTAATGGGGGAGGGGGGGTGGTGAGAAAGAGCTATGCTGATGCAGAGAAGATAGAGCAGGATGCCAGAGGCAAAGCAGCAGAAGCGGAGAGTAGGTGACAAAAATATTCCAGAATGAATATCATGTATAATATCATGTGCAGTGTTAGAAGGGTAGGGAATAAGCAGGGAATCGGGGGGGGGGGGGGGAGGGGGAGCGATTAAGAAATATATACTGATGCAGAGAAGATAGTGCAGGATGCTAGAGGCAAAGCAGCAGAAGCGGAAAATAGGTGAAAAAAATATTCCAGAATGAATATCATGTTTAATGTCAGGTGCAGTGTTAGAAGGGGAAGGGAATGGGGGGGGGGGGGGGGAGAGTGAGATAGAACTACGCTGATGCAGAGAAGATAGCGCAGGATGCCAGAGGCAAAGCAGCAGAGGCAGAAAATAAGTAAGAAAATATTTCTAGAATAAACATCCTGTTCAATATGTAGCAAGGTGAGGGACGCATAATAATAATAATAATAATAATAAATATAGATTTATTGAGCGCATAATAAACCGAATGGAACGGTTAGGATGGGGCAGGGGTGAGGAAGAAACCATTTAAGTGTGTTATGTTTCTCATGAAAAAGTTATGTAATTGTTTATGTAATAGCTCGTGGATGTTATCCTTTTCTAATGTAACTATTTTGAAATTGCTTGCTTCGATAAATCTTAAGACAAAGCAAATTAGAATTAAAAAAGGAGGACAGTGAAGACAATCAACAAATGTGTCTATCAGTACAGACATGTACTTATACATTGTTTTTCAACTTTCAAAGATTAAGTAATCCTCAGTTTGGTTTCAGTTTGACTACCAATATGCACCAAGCAAAAAAATTGTGTTCACCAAATCAATGACCATGTGACTATATTACCTATAATTTCATACAAATTGGGCTTGTATTATTGGTTCAGACCCATTAGAAGTCCATAACATGAAACCGAAACTGGTTTTATCATTCATGCTGTAACTTGGGTGACTGATCAATATCATGCTGCCTGGTTTGATGGAGAAAATAAATCGAGGGGGAAACAAATAAACATGTCGAAAGTACAAATGGATTTATTGCTTTCTATAGCCCATGGATTTTCTGACTTGTGGTCAGCCATTTAATAGTGAAGGTTGCTGTCTATTGCCGGATATTGATAATTTAGATTCACGGTCAAATACTGACAAAAACATTCACAATCATTTTAGATAATTCAATGTTACAAATGCAAACACAAGTATTATACAATACAACAAATGAGGTGACCTACCCCATTAAAAGTACATGTAATTGTAGAATGTTTGCTGCATCAATTTCTGCATTTGTTATTCATGATGTTGCCATATCTATTAACAAGATTGAATTCATTTTTTAGTTATCAAAACATAGCAGGTTAGTTCCCCATCAATTGGAATATATTGTAAATAATGACTTTTATGTAAAATTTTGCAAAAATGAGTCATCTTCATGGTAATTTTTTTTCTCAGTATTTAGATTCAAACTTTTACAGTAGATACCATTCGTGAATGTTTCTGGTTTTACATAAGTTGGCATGTGATGTTGATAACACAATCATATGTCACACCTGTTGGTACCCTGGAGAATGTTGAGGTAGGTACCTGTAGGAGAGGGCATCTTTTACCCATCTTTCAACACCACTCTTCACGAGAGGGGTAAACATACATATATTTAGAACAAGATGTTACCGATGATGTTGCCTCTGAAAGTTCAGTTACGTCCCTCTGGGCATTCGCTGGAAAACGATAGAATATCTTTCCACCTGTACAGAGCTGTCATCTAGGAATAGGAGAACTCCTAGTCATGTCTGGATAAAATAGATTATATAAGGAGGCTCCATATTAAAGTACAGTTTGCTTGTACCGAATTCAAACTCATAAACGAACATAGAATTTTATAAACTGTGAATCATGCCATGAGGCAATACAAACAGCGGAAATTACATGAAAAACAGGAGGAAGGGGCTATTGTTTTTTTGTGGAACCATACAATTTGTTATTTCATATAAAAAAAGAGCAGACCTTTTGTGTGCATTGGAGAAATTAGGATTCATTTCAATGTTGTGTGCTTAGTAATATCTCCCAAACTTGAATTGATATTGATGTTGACAGTTTTAACATTTTGGGGACTTCAAATTGTTATAGTCAGCATAAACCAATGATAAATCATAAAATCCTCTAAACAGTCAATTGTCTCAGTGATTATTGTATTTCCTTTGAGTATGATTCATAAAGACACACACAAAACAAATTTAAAAACTCTATAAATGATAATCTCTTTGTTTGAAGTTTGCCTGATAAAGACAATTCTAAACTTTGCTCTATGTACACCTGGTAATTTCTGATCAGGTGAATATTAAGGTACCTCCTGTGTTCTCAATTCTTTAAAACTAAATATAGATAGTCTCTCACAAAGTTTGGTTTCTGATTACAACAATGAACATCACAACCCACATATCACACCATGCATGTTGAGTATGTACAATGGTACCCCTAGAGATCGAGGCCAGCCCCTTTCCCCTATGTTTTCTCGTCATGAGACCCAAACATCCATGCTTTTGATTTTCCTGTAAAGGGGGAGGGGGAAGGAAGTTGACGCCCCTGCCCCTCTGGTGTGGAAATGCCCCTGTGTACAATGATAGGGGATCAGGAAACATGGATCCAGGACCTTGAAATTTTCATTAGTCTACAGAAGGTCATGGACATCCCATGGAAACATGTTTTGTTGGAATAGCAGTTACCATAGCACATGTGTAATGGGATATCCATGAAGTTAGACTTACGACAGTTCAGAGAAACTGGCCCCTAGATGTCCACAGTGTATCTGGTATGGATAGTACTCTGTTTCTTAAACTGGCATTACTGGTAAGTCTGAATTTATGGACAACCTTAGAACCACAAATCATGTTATGAAACTAGTGTTTCAATGGAATATCTATAACTTTAGACTCATGACAGTTTCAAGAAACTGGCCCGTGGGTGTCATGTTTACTTGCTATCCTAGTATGGTGAATGGCACTCTGTTTGACTCTCCGGTGTGGAAATGCCCCCATGAATGAACCCTGGTAGGGGCACAGGATCCCTCAATTTCAAAACTATATCCTGGAATGGTGGCTGGCATTCGATTTGACTCTCTGATTAGTTTGTTGTGAAAATGTCCCTACGTATGAACCGTGATGCCCTGATAGGGGCTAAGGATCCCTCAATTTCAGAAACTATATCCTGGAATGGTGGCTGGCATTCGATTTGACTCTCTGATTAGTTTGTTGTCAAAATGCCCATATGTATGAACCGTGATGCCCTGATAGGGGCGCAAGATCCCTCAATTTCAGAACTACGGTATATCCTGGAATGGTGGCTGGCATTCGATTAGTTTGTTGTGAAAATGTCCCTACGTATGAACCGTGATGAACCGTGATGCCCTGATAGGGGCTAAGGATCCCTCAATTTCAGAAACTATATCCTGGAATGGTGGCTGGCATTCGATTTGACTCTCTGATTAGTTTGTTGTCAAAATGCCCCTATGTATGAACCGTGATGCCCTGAAGGGGGCTAAAGATTCTGTTTGACTCTCTTGTTAGTCTGGTATTGACCCTGATAGGGAAACAGGATCCCTAGATGTCAGCAGTGTATCCTGTATGGATGATAACATGTGCCAGGCTTTACAAATTTAGGTCAATGATGTCAAGGTCAAAAACTCAAAATCTCAGAAATTACGCTTATTAGGTGTCAATGATTTGCATTTTAATTTTATGGTAATGAATAGTTAACAGATAATGGGAAGAATAAAATATAAAGATTTCATATTCAAGGAACTTTTTGATTTTGCATATAGACTTACTTGGACTTCGATTCTTGAAGGCTGAAATGTATGTGCATATGTAGAAGTCCATTGGTAGACAATGCATAAGATTTGTCAGATGTTTTCTCCTCTAGAAAAAACCCTGCTGTACTCTCAAACTGAGTGCATGCAGTTTGAGAGAGGAGTTTTTAGCACTCGATCTAAAAGGAAGATATTGTACAATCATGTATAACATGTAGTCAAGATTAATGGGTTGATGCAAGGCCGTCATCTGTTCACAGCATGATGGTAGTGATGGCCTAGATGTACAGGTAGCTATTTTTAGGCCGTTTTCGCTAATTGACAGCCATTAGGCAACCTGCACTGTGCTACTAGGAGCAGGAGGGGATGGTAGGATGCAAGTGCACTCAAAGTTTGCTGCTTGGTGCAAGGGGATGAGAAAGAGAGAGGGGAGAGAGAGAGAGAGAGAGAGAGAGAGAGAGAGAGAGAGAAAGAGGGGGAGAGGGAGAGAGAGGAAGATAAAGGGGGAGGGGGCGGGGTTGTATCTAGAACATCTTTTATAGGCCTCACCAAATATAGTGTTGCCCAGCATCAGATAGGGACAGAGAGGGAGAGTGTGCAATTGATGTGCAAAAAGTAAAGTATAAAAACAAAGAAGTTGATCAACAGTCATGACAGTTGCTCGGAATCACATCACCCACACACTTACAAGTGACATACATGTAGATAAAGATTGGCCAAATTCAACATCCACACTTTTCACAACAAGCAATTAGACTGGGATGTACATTAAGAAGGTGTTAAGACAATGCTTCAGGGCCTACAGTTGAATCTTTACTTGGAGTACAGGTGTGAAGTTGTGAACTAAAACTTGGATTAGCAGGGAGTAGATTTTCAGGTGGGAGGAATTCAAATGTATCATCAAAGTTCAGTCAGGCGTAATTGACAGAAGCAAGTCAGTGATCTGATTGTAGATGTGTCGATCCATTAATCTTGTTCAAGGGAAACCAAACTGAGCGAAAGATTTATTGAGTGTTCATTGTTCAACTATACACAATTGACACAACTGTAGGTACCGGTATGTCTATGATCTATGCGAAGATGTAGCGACTTATCCTTCCTTTGCATATATGGAATCAAATCGGTGGAAATATTCTCAAAAAAGCACATTATCTTGTTTGCATATTAAATGAGAATCGAAGCAACATCAACCGAAAGCACTTTGTTTTTTGTTTGGCCAACAAATGTTCTTCAATCACCAAGTTTAACAAAAACGGAAGGCAAATTTTACTCTGAACATACTAAAAGAGCATAATCTTAGAAACTATGAAATTGTTTGCTTTTATATTTTTATATGAAGATTAAATGCACAATCAATAACAGGAAATGTTTACAAACATAAAGCATTCACAGGACACATTTACTTGATATTTTATCTAAATTGAGCACATAACATTTTATGGCTAACAGTGTTATTGGTAAAAGTCAAAATATTTGTGCCTTTGGACAATTTTATTCATAAATAAGGATTTTAAAAACATCATCTGGGACTTTTCTCAAGGTTTGTTTTTCATGAAGCAAACAACTATATTTAGATCTTTTTAATAGTCACTGATATCAGAAATTTAGCCAGAGTTGGAAAAATTTAGTCAGAGAAATGTAGAGTCATAGCCCGGAGACTCATCCAATTCAAGGTTTTGGCTCTAGTTCTGGCCTCAATCTTTTAGAACTGATTGACAATGGAGATTTGTTTCACAAAGTATTGTTTTAGGGAAGTGGAGGATTTGTTTTTCTTTGAAATTCAGAACTGGTAAACAACGGCTATTTATGGAAAACAATGCATATAGACTGTGTTCAACTTTTTCTGTGCTTGCATGCTATTGAACTTGAAAAAATGAAATATTTGAAGTAAATTTCTACTTATGTAAAGTGTTTTGTTTCATTGTTAATTTGAACAGTTTTTAAAAATGTATTCCACTTCCAACATTTTATACAGTAGGCTTGCGGGTGCACCATGTGAGAGAGAGGGAGGATTGAGGAGTCCTGAAAAGGACTCTCAGTAATCTTTCTTGAGGGTTTGTAGTCCTGAAAAGGACTGTTTGGTATAGTCTTGAAAAAGACTGTTGATTATCTTTCTTAGCTTACAGTTCAACATATTATTCAATGCTTAAATATCCATATGGGATATGTACAACCCTCTGAATAGAAAGGATTAAGCTAAAAAATTGTTGAAATGTACATGTAAGGGATGGATAGAACATATTTGAAACACCACATCCTTGATATTTAGAAAATGATATGCCTTCTGTTCCAAAACAGAAAGGAGTTAACTGTGTGTAAAAGAATATGATTTGAGACAAACAATATTAAGTTTCAATTTTGATTGCAGTTCTCTCAAAAACACAACATAAACAATTTCTTGTGAAATATCCATCACTGAAGAAATCCTAATGTGACATGTGGTTCTGGTTAAAATGTATTTGTAAGTGGCTTAATGTTAATTCCCCTGGTGATCATTTTAATATCCTGTGTGTACATGTTGTTATACAACGCTGGCACATGTTGAGATGCTCTATTTAGATTGTTTCGTCCTTATGGTTTCATACAGTATACATTTGCAATTTTGCATTTCTTTGCTCCTTTTTCATTTCCCCCTTTTTCATTTCCCCCTTTTTCATTTCCCCCTTTTTCATTTCCCCCTTTTTCATTTCCCCCTTCCATACAGATTCTTATACCTGTTTTCCTCTTCATTTCATCACTAATATATAGGTTTGACAAAGGTTCATTAGCATTTATTTTCAATTTTATATTTTTATTTCTCTCTTTAAAAAATGTCCACCATAGATCATAGATTGTGTAGGTGAATGTGGTTGTTACCAAGAGATTTAGGCAAGTGGATGGGTTTTGGGCAAAGCCATTTAGCTACCAATGGAATTGGGTACTGGTAGTAATTAGGCCCAAGTCCATTATTAAACTAGGGTTCTTTAAAAAAGGGTGTTTTTTTTCTTTGTTTGTGTGGTGAATGAGTGGAATTTCGGATGGAATAGAAAGCCAAGGCATTAGGAGATTAGCATAGAGAGATCGAGTCAGATTGCATGCGAGGATCTCAAAGAGAGAGTCGTAACAAATGTGCTAGGTGTGTGCTGAGAGGGTGAGAAGTATTGACTGCAAGTTTCAGGTATATGTAAGCATTCATCAGCCCTCTCCTATGTTTTTTTTATGAGAGACCAATATATGTGTATTTTGGTCTTGCTTTTTGGTCTTGATGCCATAGTAATTTAAATATTAATTAAAATTATTAGTGAACAAAGGTTTTTATGCATAACTATTTTATTTCTTCTTTTTTATTTGCCCTTACCATAGATTGACCAAAGGTTCGGTCAAGTTCTTCCAGTCACGGTCTTCCCTGGAGAAGACGACAGCAAAGCTGATGTCCAGGAGAACGACATGTGACCGAAGGGCAGCGCACATGAGAAACGAGTACTTACTATGTCTGGCCGCGGCCAACACACATCGAAAACGTCTCCACGAAACGGATGTACCCTTCCTAATGGAGGTGAGTCAATATGGTACTTAGACTCGTACGGATGAATATCTAGTGTCATGGTTTTTACGGGGTAAGAATAAGTAAAGAAGGGCAACCATGTGGGGAATTGTGGACAAAGCAATTTGGAAACAACTCCATGAAACGGACATACTCTACCTAATGGAGGTGAGTTGATATGGTACAGGAACTCCAAGAGCTTTGTCTTGAGTCAAAAAGTCTTATTCCAGGGGGTAGGGGGTTAGTTAGGAAGTACAAACTGGCGGCAAACGAGAGGAACAAGGCTTTACTAGATATGGATGTACCTTACCTGATGGAGGTGACATGGTACAAGAACTTCAAATGGTGTTGGCTTTAGATCTAGAGGAAGTACTCTACCTACGAGTGAGGGGGAGGGAAGCAACCAAATAATTGATTTAAAAAAGAAATATGGGTTGATGGGCTTCAAGCAAATAGTTTCTGACATTGTTTGGGATAAGCCATAATATGTCAATACAAAGGTAGACTTTTTTTGTGGGGGGGGGGGGGCATGTGTTAGGCCTAGCATGTATTACCTGTGTTTGAAAATAAAGCAATTCTTTGGAAGATTCCATCATGTCAAAAGTGGTTGATTTATCATCCTATTTTACTTTAGAAGTTTCATCAATCATACCCTGCTATCTACACATCATCAGCGTTATTATGAAGTGACGAATCTGTCATATATGTTACTTTACGGATTTATCGGTTCAAATAATGCTAACGTCATGTATGTCTGAGAATGTTTCTTATCATTTATTACATTCTGCACACATTCATAGAGATACATATACACTGGGAATCTCAGAATCTTATCTTCTAGACATTGATAAATTATGCTAATCTAGAAACTCCATAACCCACTGAAGGTTGATTTCATCAGTCGTTATTCCTCAAGAATGTTCACTGTGGCTCTTTGTCTATAAATTAACAGAAAATATTTAGAAATTTACCTCAATTTCAAGAACATACCTCCTTCATTGAGAATTCTAAGGTTATGGTATGATTTTATCAGAACTGCATCAAAGATTATTGATCAGAGTTGCATTTCTTTTTCTAAAGTTGCTTATAAAACAAAAAATTGAAACCATATTCAAATTTGAGCCCATTAGAATTTCAATGCTATTGAAAAAATATCATTTGTTAATAATACACGTAGCTAACGTGTAACATACGGTATGGGAAAAGGGAAAAAAAGGGCCCCATTTTCCAGAATGGAAACCCTCGTAGGCATGTTTCACAATCTTTGAGGATTACAAAAGACTGGAGGTAAATTATGTTTGGCATAGTCAAAGGAAATGAGGAAGAAGAACTTGCAAAACAGATGTGAAGTTACCACACATGCCACATGGATGGAAAGTGTCATGATTCAAAACACCTGAAGGATTATAACAATTTTAATGAAATTTATGCCAAAACATCGATTTGGTTTAAATCATCTTTCTGCCTTTTTATGTTGATTCAAAGAAAAAAAATCTACATGACATATTTAGCTTTCTACATTGCATATGGTTGTTCAAGTATCAGAAGACAGTTATGGAAAGAAAAATTATTTTTAATATCATTGAAGAAGATGTTATAGAATGCAAAACTATTCAAGATATCAGTAAAAGAATGTTATGGAATGCAAGATTATTTGAAATATCATCCATACAAAATATGTTATGGAATGCTAGATTATTTGGATTGAACAATTTCATGGCATTCATTTGAAATTATTTATCTAGTTATGATTTCTTTGATTCTATTCATAATGTTTGAATAAAATTTTCCTTTTAATTTAAAATTGACATAACTCTTTCCTACTTTCATTCTTCGTAATATTCTTATATTTCTTGGGAAACATGAAAAGCAGTTCAGCTATTTTAACAATCATGTTATAATAATAATTAGTACCTTTAATATCATGAAAGTTGTAAAGCTTTGTCCTAAACCAACTACTTCCTTCTTCAGTTTGTATTTTAGTTTCAATAGGTTTCAAGATTAATACCAGGGTCACTATAACCCAGTATGAAATTGCTGGAAATATGAAAATAGATATTCTGAAATTTTTACAAGATGTATCAATATTTGTTTAACGAAATGTGAGCCACCTTATTAGTTTCATATTTTAGATGAAAGCTAGATGCCCTTTTTGCCCTTGGCAGACAGCATGGTGTTAAATTGAATTTATTAATTGTTTCAGTTTCTGTGAGGTTTTGATAGAATCGCTTAAAGTGATGATTTGTTGTTTTGTATTGCATTTAATGCGTTATTAAGTATGTGCGATCTTTTTTTTAATTGCCTGTTTTTGCATTGTCTTATAGTGCGCTTTTATCCTGGCTTATTATAGCACATGCTTTGTTTGGGGGCATTGGTTAAAGTTAAATTGAAGTCATACAAGTTGATATGATATCTCTATTCAGATCTGCAAATGTTATGTAGGAAATGTATGCAAGTTGGTTGCTTTCTTTGCTATTCTGCACAGTCGACCTTTTGCCACACATGCATTTTTCTATACAAAACGATAGGCACAGATTGAGAGGATTGCTTTGTGCAGCACAATGGCTTTCTAAAAATACAGATTTACAGTCTTGATTAGCTCCATGACAACCCTATAAATACTTGTATAGATCCAAGTCTTGTGTTTGAAACCGTCTATAATCTTGAAGCCTTGGTAAATCTATCCCATAATAAATACAATGTGGCACAGAGAGATTATTTGTGTGGCAAGTAAAGAGTTAAGATGTCCCAAGGTGTTTTTTTTAAAGATGGATGTTCAATTGCTCAAGATATATATTACCCACGCCTTGCATATTAGTTAAAGTACACTTTTATTGGCCATTGTTAGAGTGTTTATGGTAATAGTAAAGTGAAAGATATATCCAATTACATTTAAGTGTTCACAATTGTTTAATGATAAGTTTCTATTAATGTTTTAAATATATTTTGAAAAGGAGACATCAGTTCATAAAGTAATAGGGAAACAAATTTGGATAGGATGGAATTACTTTCAAATCATCCCTCAAATTATGACGAGTGCTGTAATCTTTATCCTTGTTTGAAATTTACATCAACTCTCCCATTTATCATTTTTTTAAACCACCAGGGATGCTTCATAGTGCATTATATATGAACCAGTTATTCAACAATAACTGCCTTCACAACCATATCAAATGATTAAATATGAACTTTTAATTTCTTTCAAAATATTTCCTTGTGTTTCAGGCTCTTGATGGTGACTTCTATGAGAGGTTACGCAACCATTTCAGAGTGTTTAGTACCACCGAGATTGAGAGCAGTACCTATGTGAAATCATGTTTCCAGATAATATCAGATGAGGCTGATATGGTAATTATTCAACATTTAAATGAATTTGATACTGATGATGAAAGTGATGGTGAATGATGGTGGTGGTGATGACGGAAACCATGGGATAAATTGAGTTGATGGTAATGGTGGTGGACTGGTGGTGGTGGTGGCGGTGGCGGTGGCGGTGGCGGTGGCGGTGGTGATGATGATGATAATGATGGTGGCGGTGCTGATAACCATGGGGATAGATTGAGTTGATTTTAATGATGATGGAGGTGGTGTTGGGGGTGGTGATACTGAAAATGATGATTATGACAGTGATGATGAATATTGATAATGATGATGATGATAGTAATGATAATGTCAAGGATGATGATGATGTTGATGAGAAGTAGGAGGAGCAAGAGGAGGACTAAACTATTGTATGGGTTATGATGTATAATTGGGAGAATAATGAGTAGAACTGTAGTGGTTCATGAAACGTTTGAGATATTATGATATTAAATGAAAGTTAATAATAAGCTGTAATAGAAATTTGGTATATATATATATATATGTCCTGGAGCATTAAATAGTTTGGAATCATTATTAAAAGTTTGTGAACTACATTTACAAGTAATTTCTTTCATGTTGTCTACATAGAATTTAAAGTAATTGGAAAGTTTATATCATGTTTTCTTACAGCTACAGGCTGAGGAAGATACACAGAAGGTTTACAAAACTTTCAATCTTTTCATTATTTTACTAAAAATGAAACTTCCAGCAGCTATCGTATATCTATCATGTACTATATTGCATGACTTCTTTCTCTTCCAATTTCATCTAATATCTTATTCTACCAGATTTTTCCATTATACGTAAGTGCAGTGCTTTTCTTCTAAATTCTGGCACACTGTAAGGCTAAGGCAGAGTAGTGTGACATAAACAACTTGTCTCTTGAGAGCTAGAAGGGCATTGAAGGGCAATCGTACCCTTATTGCTAACTACTCTCAAAGAAAGCAGAATAATCTAAGAGAGAAGCAAGACTGGTGAAAGTTTGAATGAAATTGGACTGAAAAAAAGAAAGAAAAACACATTTTAAAAGTTCTAATCATTATATGTATGGAAGCTTCAAATTGGCTGAATCGGTTGATGTTACTTAGACTTCTGCTTTCATACCAAAGAACTTATTACAGAGGTTGGACTGTTGATTATAATGACTTTAAGGTAATACAAAGTTTTGGGAAATTTTGAAAATTGGGTGGATAGTGAATCTTTACATTTTTGATATATTTGGATGTCCCTGTGGATGTATTATAAGCACTGAAAAAATTAGTCCCTAAAACACTTCTGTTTTCGAGAAAAATTGAATATAAAATTTACCTGTGCTCCCGGTAAATTTTGATAAATTTCAAATGGTAGCTGCGACCATGAAAATCTCAGAATATGTATTTGTGATATATAATTCCAAACGGGATTAGCTAATCGGTCGATTTTAGTCAAGAAACATTGTTTCATTGCTAAATTAATATCTTGACCTTGAGAGGGAGCTATACAACATAAAGAGTTTATTATTTATAATTTCATAACGATCAATAAATATTGTAGGAACGCATATGCTTCCAATATGTTAATTTGAACCAAATTCATGACCCCATACCAAAACTTTGTAATATGTTTAAGGCCCTTCTGTTTATAAGTTGATTACCTGCACTTAGTTGTTAGATGTTTGATGTTTAAGATAGCACCAGTTAAATCACCAAAATAAAATCGACTCGCTTGTGTTAAATATCTATAAAAGCATATTTAAACAAAAGTATTATGGTATATGTATGTGCAAATATTTTCTAAATTCATTTCATAAAATATTATGATTTTGAACAGCTAGTACCACCTTTTCTCTCTCTCTCTCTCTCTCTCTCTCTCTCTCCCTCCCTCTCCCCTCTCTCTCTATCTCTCTCTCTCCCTCCCTCTCTCTCTCTTTCTTCCTCCCTCTCTCTTTCTTCCTCCCTCTCTCTCTCTCTCTTTCTCTCTCTCCCCATCTCTCCCCCTCTCTCTCTCTCCCTCTTTCTTGTAGCAAAATGTGTTCAAAAAGACTTGCAAAAAGATGTTATGCTTTAGTAGAAATAAGAGTTAAATATGATTAACACATATGGCGTCTAACCCATTTAATATCTTTATGAAATAAAGATATCACATTGCTGCATACATATTAGTTAACTTATATGTTATTGGCTTCCCGGCGAGAAAGCAGTAACTCCTATCGACAATCCTTAGCTGTTACAGCCTTCTTGAAGATAGCAAATGACTTAAGATTTTGTTATGCTACATTTAGCTTTTATATTATATTAATATATTTCATGGAATTTTATTTTGAGTTTGAAAATCACACTTTTAATGTCATCTAATTAATTTACATTACCATGCTTTTATTAATCTGTTTAAAATAAGATTTTTTATATTTTATTTTGTAATTTTTTGAAACAGTTGACATTATATCATGTTTGTTTATATCATGTTAGTTTTAACACACAAAGAGGCATTTACGCTGCAAGCCATCCTATTGAACAGTTTTTTAATATCTTACGTGTATGTTTCCAGGTCTTCTATTCAATATGTCTGGCTTAGCTCATCTTCAGATATGTCTGACTGCCTATATTTTTATTAATTACTCAGAATGATCTTTGGAAGTCTAAAGCCAGATTAGGCGCGTCTTTATTATCTCGAGATTGCCAAATAGCCCGCTATTTCTGATTTGGGAAATAATCCCGAAGTTACTAATCGCGTCTTCATTAGCTCGAAATTTGATCTCGAAACTTGAAACTCGTCCTTGAGAAACTAGCTTGAGATATTTTGCTCAGCGTTAGCGCATAGTGCGAGTTTTCGGTCTGGTGAAGACGCACAGGACAAATCGCTTGATATTTTGCAAACTATCCCAAGATATCTTAGGATGACAATCCCGACCAAATATCCCGCTAATTGCTACTTCGGTCTGTAGCTGGATATTTGGCAATCTCAAGATAGTGAAGACAGGCCTACTGTGACTTGACAGGGCATTACTACCTCTTAATGACAATCCGATAGACGACCTAAGGGAAATAATGGGGTTTCATTACATGAAACCAATTCATGGAAATTTTTCTTTATGTCTAAGTGAAAAGGAAATTAATCTTGTTAATTGAAGTTATAGTAAAAGGTACTCATTGTGTTATTGTGTACATGTTTCTAATGCACACGTATCTAATGTATTTAGAAAAACGTGCATCATTGTGTAATAGTAATCTCATGCACAAATCAGCTAGATAGATGTAGCTTATGTAAGATCCGGATCGTTAGCAAACACAAACGGTGATGTCAGGGCTGATAATGACAGATTAATCTTGTCAATCTAACCAAAGAAGTGTTATTCTCTGTTATAACGTTTCCAAAGCATTCATAGTACGGCAATGCATACAAGCATGGTTCTGGAAGATTATTTTCCTTTTCCATTATTTGGGTTTTATTTATATATTATTATTACTTGAATATATATATATATATATCTATTTTTTTTTGGGGGGGGGGGGGTAGGGGGCATTGAGCTACCTTCTAGAACCCAATATACCTGTGCATCAGTATAGAAATGCATTTTTTGCATGGAGCTAGTGATATTTACTGTAGAAATATCAATTTTCTCACCCAAGAACTCTTTAAAAAAATTTTTTCCAGATCTCTTTTTGAGCTTACCAGAGCTTAATTGCTCAGCGTCCATGAAATATCCATTAAACTTTTATTTTAGAGCTCTCAAGAGTACTTAGGAGATATCGAATTGATAATTAAAGGTCTGGTTTGTTTCCATGATTTGTTTTATTTTGCTTTGTTTGTTTCTTTGTTAGAGATGTTTATCTTTCAAACCAAATTGCAGTCCTGTTTTTATGGGTATTTATGTTGATACATTATTTTATGACACCTATCTCGCCAAGCACCTGGGAACAAGTTGAGTGCTAAGGGGTGCCTTTTTAATCCACAATTATCTGATAAGCACAAAATGAAAGCCCTCGTATTTTTGTTTACTTTTTTGTGGGTGTTTTTGTTTTGTTGATGTTTCTGTAGGATTTGTCCATTTGATTTTTATGAAAGTTCCTACAGTCTCGGAGTCATGCATTGCCACCAGATAATGGAACTTAAAGTAGATACACGAAGAATCAAAAGTGTTTTGAATTGATGCAAAACTCATATCATTGCGAAGGGGAAGCCTTGCTGATCAAATACAACAACTCTTTTCTTCAAAATATGTTTGGGGCCCACAGTAATCAACTCTCAAAATGTTAGTTTTGAGATCCAGATTTTCTGCCTTAATCAGCGGTCCTTTATAGAGCGTCAATATTTGTGACGTCACATACGGGACACGGCTGGCTAGCTGCAGACTGCTACACGGCACTGAGCTGTTTGTCCAGTGTGTGACGTCACTATTCAGAGCTCGCTACGCTCGTGTGTTTGGCTTACGTTCGGGGGCGCTTGGGAGTCTAAGAAGGGTCTTAAAAAATTGCATTTTACGCCTTTCCATGATATCTATATGATTTCTCAGCAAATTATTCGTGTTTTTCAAGAGAAAATCTTTCCATCCATATGTAAATTGTTCTAATTTTCAGTTGTTAGTGAATTTTCTTTGTGTAGCTCCTTTAACAAATCAAAGTTTTTGAATGCCTATAAGAGGCCCCTACTGCTATTGACAATATCTAGCATCATTAGCTTTTTGCCAAGTGCTGTAATACCTCAGTTACACCGTCAAACTGACTCCGTGCCTACTGCAAACCAATCGACTAATGGCCATTCGGTGTGATCTAATGTTTTGTTTGTTCCGTTGTCGGTTTATGTTAAGAAGCTGGTTGATGGGGAATTTTGATTTTGACTAAAATGCTAGGCAAAATCATATCTTTTGTTCATTTGTTTATTCTCTTTGTTTTTGTTTATTTGAGCCCCCAATATTAACAATCATCTAACCATCCATCTCAAATTTTGTAAAGAATAACAGTTTAATGCTGTAAATCAGTTGTGGACATATTGCTCATCAGATTTAAAAATGCACTTCTAACAAATGCTTGTTTTTCTTTTGAATCATACATAAAAAATAAAGATTTTTGCATTCATGTTTTGATTATTGTGGCACTGGTTTGAAATGCAAGAATATATTTAGAAATAAAATTGTCTTCATTAGAAAAACACAGTCAGCTGGCAATATTTATCTCAATCTTCTGCTGGAGAAAATCAATTTTTCAAGTGTTAGTTTGACAAAAGATACATGTAAAAAGCAACATAGCACATATTTCTATAGTGAATTTAATATCTATAGGAAACCTGTTAATTTCTGTAATTTACTTGAGATGTATAAGCTTTTCAATACTGCTCTTATATTTGTTGTACTTCGACCCAGAGATATATGTGTTAAAAGGAACATGTGCTTTACCAGTGTGCTTTCTCTGACTTTACATGATTACTGGTAGTTCTTTCTAATTGCTGTAAAAAAAATTCAAACTTGTCGGTGCACGTTTAAAGATAAGTACCAATTACTAATAGAAAATGTCAACAATTGGAATGAAATGTACACAAGTTATATGCATTTGAATATGAAGGAAAATAAAGCACTGTCTAAAGATTTTTTTTTTTAAATACTATATTTGAAGCTTTTTATGGTACCTGCGTATACTGATTCCTTTATTTTTAGAAATCATGAGTGTCTTCTTTCTACAGATATTGATCAATTGCTACCACCATATTTCACAAGTTGAGAATAATTTGGAGATATTCCATATCACTTTTCCCATTGGAGGTTTTGCTCTTGTATCATATTTCATGACAAAGATGGATGGTGTATCAGTGCTTTATTATTATACCAATCCCTACTTTCCAGTAATGCATGATAATAATAATTATACTTTTGATTATAAGAATAACAACATATAATTCTTGTTCTTTGATAAAATGCCAACAGTGGTAACAATAACAAGAGAAGCAATACTATATACTGTAAACACATTTTTTTCCTTCAAAGTTCTGACTAAAAAAGTTTCACAAAGTTCTTCATTTTTTTCACCTGTGCCCCCCCCCCCCTCCCCAAAAAAGAGGCATGTTTTCCTTTTACACAGTAGAAATATATCTTTTTCTGAAATATTTACCACTGAGCAATTGCTTCACCAGAAATGTCATACAATTATGCATGATTAATGTGGCTGTTTCTTAATTCTTTGTTTTGCAGTTGAAGAGGTGTCACCAGCAGCAGAAGTTTCTGAAGGAGAATCCTATCTTTACAGACATTGTTCAGTATGTCTATGATCCAGTTGAGAATGATGAGGTGAGTTGTCAAGCCTGTTACCTTGGATAGAAAGATTTTTTTTAAAAGTTTTCTTTGTTTTTACTTGTGTGTTATCTAATCTGTTCTACATTTTGTCTGTTTGTAGCCAAAAGGGCATCAAATTCATATACTTTTGGGCTCCGAACAGATGATTTGGTGTGTGGTTCTTCCATTTAAATCCAAAGAAATTAACCTCTCTCTCCCTTTTACTTTCTCTCATCCCCTCCCCTCCCCTCTCTTTCTCTTTCTCCCTCACTCACCCCATCTCCTTCTTGTTCTCTTCCCCTTTCTTTTTCTCCCACTCACTATTTCATTTTCTTTATTTCTTTTTTCCTTTCTCTCTTTCTTTCTCTCTCCTCAATAATTCATTTACACTTGTTCTGAGAGTCATTGATCTGAGGTTAATGATAAATTTAGGACTGATGTATGTAAATTACTCTCACTTCTGACCACAAACAAGTTTTATATGGCTTATTTATTTCTTAGTTATTTTTTTCCTGAACACTTCTCTTCTATCAAAAGTGACATTACTGAAAGTTATGTGCCATTGAGCACTAGTGCTTGTATCACTTCCAGTATAGTAAGAGTTTTAAGGCTTCGTAAAATAATTATATTAATAATAGAATTTCATATGGCATTTATATATTATGCCAAGCTATATTCTCTAGCTCTACCTGAACTAAAACTACAGAGGTTACATCAATCAAACATTATCTTCTCACCAAGCGTACTAGTGGATGTATGAGACGGGAGACTGTAGCCCCTGGGAATGTTCCAACTTAGCAGTATCCAGGGAAATGTTAACGATCGATATTCAGGCAGCTAAATGGAATTGCCAAAATGTTCATCTTTTATTCAGTAGTTGTGTTGTTACTTTAAGATGTCATTAAAAAAAATTAAAAAAAATTGAAAGTTGATGTTTGGGTGAGAGATTCCCCCCCCCCCCCCCCATTTCTGTACCAGGTACCTATATTTTACACCCGAGTCAAGAGAGACAAATGTAGATAGAAATGTCTTGCCTTGGGACATCTCTCAAACATGGATTCTAGCTGTCAGCCTCTTCACTGACAATCAGTCGATTGACCAAAGGAATCCCGCTTCATAACTCTCATTGTAATAATTCAAGAATAGCTAGGTCGAGCAAAGTTGTTTCATGTGGAGAAAAATGAATCGTATCATTCTTTAGACATCATGGACAAACACATAATTTATTTTTATTTGTCAATGATATGATACAATTTTGGCAGGTGATAGATACATGTTTACGGTAGGTAAACTGTTTGCTCTCGGTTGAGGTTTTTAAAAATAAAAAGACTGCCGACTACTCACAGGAGCAGGTGTCTGACAATCTTTTAAGCTAGAATAAAGTGGTTAGCATTGTTAATGTTTAGATCACAAAGTAGGTCTCTACATTTTCAAAGTTTGGATATGAAGGTAATATGTAGGTCATGGTCTAGATCCTATCTTGTCTCCCTACCAAAAGTTTGTGGCATGTCCGTTTTTAGATCCAAGTGCCAGATGCAGTCTGGTGATCCCATTTCATCCAACATTCTTCTATAATTATAAACCACCAAACCTATATTACAACATCCCTAATTGCCAAGTGTTTGCCACACAAAGCACAAATCCTGTCAAATTTACCAGATCAAACATAACCCATTGCCAGCGTTAGACGAACGGCTCCAGTATTAAGCCTATGTGAATGGGAGACATCAGGAGTCAAGGGGTTAAAATATCCCAAGTTTGGCAGCCAGCTATCTCCAACCACTGTCTGCTACGGCGGCGCGACAGACAGGAAGTAGGTCAATGGCCATTGCCATGGTTACCAATTTATGTTTATCACAAGGGCAGGAAGTAGAGGGTTAGATGGAAGAGTTTATGGAAAGCTGGAGGTAAGGAGGTATTGTTGGGAGGTGGAGGAGGGAAGAGAGAAGGAGGAGGCGGCGATGAGTGAGATGGGAGGAAAGGTCTTGTTAATCAGAGAGAGGTTGTTTTTTTTAAAATTTAAATATGGAACCACAAATATGTAACGGAAATTAGACCTGTTCGCACAATCTATTTTTGGTTCATGCAAAGTTTTAAAGCAAATCTGACAAATGAATTGTATGATTTAGACCTTTTAAAAAATAGGACTAATGATAATTTGTCAAAAACTGTCTAAAGTAATCACTCCAATTGTAAAAAGGAGAGTTGACAAATTAGCTTGATGTGAGACTACCCTCCAACATAAATTATTATTTACAAGAATGATATCAGGAAGAAAAAAATATAGATATTAATAATGGGGAAAATTAATGAAATTTTCTTCTGTTTGAAGAAGTAATTGTAGATTAGTTATAGAATACCAGTTTACTACTTCCAGTAATCACTGACACAAACCTAAAGAGAGAGAAAATGTTACATGTCACCTAATACCCTGGATGGTGTGCTAAAAGTTGATGGGCACATTGTTCAAAAGTGAACCACCTTATCCTGTAAGGGACACACCTCTTTCTGTTTAATACCAAAGTGGGATTCATTTCATTTTATTCACCTAATTTTCATTCATTGGAAGACGTTGATAATAAGCCAAAATATGCTTGTCACAGACTTAAATAACAACTGTCATCCTTTCACTTTACTATTTTGATATTTAATATATCTATTCTTTAGGATTTTTTGATAAAAGAAAGATGAGGAAGAAGAATCATGATGAATATATACTGCATCATTTTACGGCTTGTGCTTGAGTTTAAGAAATGTTTCTACCACAAAATCAACATTATCCAGCTTATTTTTTTTCTTCAAATGTACATTTAATACTCCTTCCCCAAGGAAGGAAAGAAAACAAATCCATTTTGGGCTTATCAATCACCAGAAGCTTTTTCATTTCCCATGCCTTAATCTTCCATTTCTCCCCATTGAACAGGGCACATCCTATGTCCTTTTCATGGTCAACTAATTTCAGTTTCAAAGTCATACTCCAAACTGGCTTTGTTTGATTTTTAAATGTCACAGTTATCAAATTCTCCAATCTCATATATATGATCCGGCCTCCGTCAATTCTTGCCCGTTGCTTACATGTGGGTTATAATAGGAAGGCTAATTGTGAGTACACATTTAAAGAGTCAAAGGTTGTGTTTAACTTCGGCATTCTATCTCTTTACTCCATTTTTCCTTCTTCCCAGGGTTCAAACAATGAAGTTCTGTGTCGTATAAATTTGATGAGATACCTTTCAAGGAAAAACAGTGTTGACAATACTTGACATTGTTAGGGACGTGAGGGAAAATGTGTTTTTCTTAGTATATCTATGGCCTACAACCAAATTGAAATAAATTGTATATTCAAGTGAAGATGTTTTAGAATTAAATGTATAATTACAGTAATCTGTCCAGTTTGGCAAAGTTTTCTTATTTCTCTGTCAATATAGTCATAGTCATTTGCTTTTGGCAAATAAATTTGAAGATAGAAACACATGTTAAACATGATCAAAGTTTTGTTTATTTTGATGTTGGGAGATGTGTAGAAATCCAAATTTGAAACATCCCCCTTTTCTATATTGTATACATGTATCAGGAAACATACAAAACCTTAGTCACACCAACAAACTCCACACAGACTTTCCTCCAACTGTCTCTTCGTCATCCAGGGCAATGTAATTGTTTTTTCGACTATCGGTAGTCGTTTTTATGAGTTTTGTATAAATTTCCCGTTGTCTGTACATTCACAACCCAGTAACACAAACGACACTGACACCGGCAAGTGTCACTGGCATATGTCTAAGTTTGTGAACATCCCATTGAGCGTGTGTTCATTCTACATGTTTCCATGTGTTGTCCACAAACTTAGACATATGACGGTCTTACTAACCCCCACCCAGTTACATGTACCGTATATGATTTTTGTATGATACAAAATTCAGACTAGATTCTTTTTTAGTTTTCACTCGAAATGATATTCAAACAGGTGTTTCATTATAAGACGTTTTGTTATCCAACAATTCTTTGTACCATATTCAGACTGCAAAACTGTGCAAAGTTCAGTCTAGAACAAGATGCTGATTTTTTTTTTAGTTTTCTTTCAAAATGATATTCAAACAGGCGTTTCATGATACAACGTTTTGTCATACAACAATTCTTTGTGCTATGTTCAGACTGCAAAATTTGAAGTACTCATCTTCTAGCTATACAATGAATTATGGTAGTCTGAACATAGGTTAAGAAGCTCTTCGGTGGACAGTGCATTGTAGTTTGACGTCTCGTTTCTGAGCTTTATAAACAAGGACAGGAAAGAAACTCAAATAGACAGGATTGTTTAGACTTGGTCGTTTCCTCCTATTAAAAATGGAGATGATCACAATCTCCATGACAGTTTCCTAAAAGTCATCCATGGACAGTGTTTTGTGTTGCTGTTTTGACATATCCTTGATCAGGGCATTTAAAAACACATCTACGGGGGTATTAACACTGTTGAGAAAATTATCAACAATTTGTCAAGTGTTCAAACTTTTGTACATAAGAACAAGAGGAGGGCATGGGAATTAGGTCCAATGTGATGGACAATATTCAAATTCTCATTTTTGTATTGGAGTAGTTGTAGCATAAATTACTGATGGTGCCTCTGTTATTGGTTACATACAGAAAGTTTTTTTGTTGTACTGAGTTTCCAGCTTTAAGTGAAGTACTAAATCATGTTTCCACTACAAACTTTACTTAGTTTCAATTTTTTGACAGATTGCTTTATATATTTGTATTTTGTACAATATTTTATAGTGAACAAAGTCTGTGATTTGACTGCCTTCCCTCGAAGAGTTTGTTTACTTGCATTGAGGATCATTTAGACTTGGAGCCTAGCTGCTGAACAAATATAAGATAGATATGGCGAGATGTCCAGGGGCTCTTTAAGAGACTCTGCTTTATAATCTGTTTACAATTCTGACAAGCGTCAATATAACCATCGCTCTTGAACCAGAAATTAATCAATTGCAAATCTGTGCAAACTGAAGGAACAAAACTTTATCATACAATAATGAGAAAAAAAGAAAGCCTTTTGAAATGCTAAAAAAAAAAAGGCATCTGTCTGCAACTATATTGTCCATCGTTGTTGGAGCAGATGAAATATTGAGCTAGCAAGTACTTTGTCAGATATCTCTATTAGTAAATTTGATCATGGGGATTTATCATGGATTTTATTTAAGAGGGTTTTATATTCAACGGCTGGTAACACATGTCAGACAGCCCTGGATTGAACAAACAAGAGACTAAAGAAGAGATTGAGTTCAATAATTTTGTCAGCTTTCTCATTCTTTTTATATCAGTTTTGGAAGAAGATATATGGTAGAAATGTGCCCTGAAAAGGATTAGCCTTCAAATTCCTTTATATCTGAAATATGACAAAAAAATAGCTTAAACAGTTTTGACCAATAAGTTGCATACTCTAAGTATTTATATCTGCTTGCAGTGCATGTGACTTCTTACTTTATCTCTGAATATAAATAAAGACCATAGGACATGGCCTTTGAACAGTAGCATCTAGGGGGAGTATCTACTACTAGGTTACGTCATCTCCTAATATTTACAAGCTACTGAGTTTAACAAATATGAAAAATTTCCTATACCCTGTCTCCAAATCCTCGTCAAGGGCGAGCAGTATATTATTGCTGGCTACTGAATTGACATGTTTATTCCAAATTGTAATAATGTATCCCATGTCTTTAAAATCTCTTTCTCTTTCTTTACCCTCTCTCTCTCTCTCTCTCTCTCTCTCTCTCTCTTTCTTTCCTCTCTCTCTCTCTCTTTCTATCTTTCAGTCTTGTTATCTTGCTTTATTCCATCCTGGCTTACACACTTTTTTCCATCCTAGCCTATTTCTTCTCCCTATATATCTGTCACTGCTTTGTTTATATCATTCCCCGTTCTGATCCACCCTCTCCCTGTCTCTGTCTCAGTCTACTTCTCTCTCTCTTTGTCTTAACTTCCCTCTCCCCTTGCCTGTAACCGTCTCTTCTTCCCTCTCTCCACTTATCAAACATAAGTATGTACTCTTGACAGCTCAGGAATGTGTATATATCTCTTATGAAGAAGTACTTGTTTGCATTGCATTTATAAGGCTAAGGTGCAAGGAACAGATTACATTTGATCCATAGCTGTAACAGCACATTTGTGTGGTTTTTAAAAGAAACACACAATGACATATAATGTGCAGCTTAAAACAAATCAAGAATAACAACAAATCTCTCTCTCTCTCTCCCTCTCTCTCATTTTCATCTCTCTCTTTACCAATGATTACATAATTTCTTCGTTGAATACACCAGTTTACGGTTAGGGGTGCCATTTTAATTGGCGAGTAAACAGAGCCAATGACCTAGAGGTCATGGATTTATGCGTAAATTAAGATTGCGCCCATGCAAATTATGATGATATCACTGCCTGCGCGCTGCGTTGTGTGCGCACATCATCATTTGCATGGGCACAATCTTAATTTACGCATAAATACCACTGACCTCAGGTCATTGGCTTTGTTTCAAAGCCAATGACCTGAGGTCAGCCTGTCTGCACATGCGCACTGATGTAACAGTAAACTGGTGTATTAAAATGTATTGATGTGTTGACATTCATGTTTACTGTTATGTGAATTAAATTGAATTAGTATAATTTTCATTGGGGAAGTTGGATTTTTTTAAAAATACACCTCATCTAGCTGATTTTCGTTATCATTATGATGATCACCATTACCATCACCACCACCACCGCTGTAATCATCATCATCCTACCAGAAATGATAATGATATTGAGCATTTGGGTGATGATGATGATGATGAATATTGCGATCAACAACTTCGATAGTACGTCACCAAAACTTTTTTTCATTTCCCATGCCTTTAGGCTTTATTGTCCCATCTTTCACTTTGTCTCTCATCTTTCTTTCAGGTGTCAAACTTAATCATGGACAACACTGAGTCCCTGTACCTAGAGAGAGAAGCCAGACGATGGGCGACCCAGGTGGCTAAGGAATCCAACCACATAGAAAGCCTTACCAGGCAGATGGAAGCATGCCAACCATTTATCAACCAACTCAGGGTAGGTCCAACCTTTTGTTTTCACTACCGGTAATAGTTTATTCTTAAGTGGTAACATACTCTAAATATATAAGATTTTTAGGGGATAAGTCTCTGTATCCAGAGAGAGAGGTGAAAAGAGTAAGAGAAAGATAAAAGCCAGACCATGGGCTAAACAGGTGGCTAAGGAATCCAACCACATAAAAAGGCAGATGGAATCATGCCAACTTTGTATAAACCAATTACAGGTACGTTCAACTTTGGTTTCAGTAACAATTTATTCTGAAGTTATAAGCCACCCTGACGTCGACACAAAATCTGGTCCTGCACTTCCGTGCATTGTGCATTAAGTGGCATGCATCCTGGTCAGTACTACAGTTGTGTTAATATGTTGTGCCATAATTCACTTCACAAATGCATAACATCATGGGTATACTACGGCAGGCATTGTCACGCTACATTCACACCAAAGTGGAGCACTGTTCACACTTTGACCCACTGGAGCGCAGTGCCACGCCTTGTCACATGACTTCCATCAAAGTAGCACATATTCCTTTAACTAATCATGGAACTGGCCTGAAATTTAAGTTGTGACCAATTTTAAAATTTGAACAATTATGGCAGGCCCGCTTTCATCTACCACCATCCCTATGAACACTTAGCAACTACTGAACTTATTGTCGTGCATTGGCAGGATGGCTGCGGTTTACTAAAGAGTCATCTCTGTATCTAGAGAGAGATGCTTGACCATGGGCTTACCAGACTATTAATAGGTTTCAATAGTGACTACAGTCTTCCTTGTTTAAGTGCACGCTGTACAATGATAAATTGGTATGGGTTTAGATAGAAGTCTCTCTTCCGATTCAAAATCTAAACTGAAACTATCTCACTCTCGGAATACACTTGAATTAGTGGTTAGATCAGTATTTCCCCTGCTATTGTTTAAGAGTTGATCTTTCTTACCAATTGTTGAGCTGAGCAAGAGGATTTTTTTCTTTCTTGTTGAAGTTGTTCATTCATTTGATTCAATGTAGCTTCTTTTCTTTGTTCTTGAATATGATGAAGTCCAATTGATATCTGTACTGTGGTCTTATCGAAACACTTTTCTCAGTGGGTAGTATTTGCTTTGAGCATTGTGTTGTGAAATGTATGTACTGAATGTTTACAAGTTTACAAGTAAACTTTGTTTCTGTGTGTATGAGTGACTAGTCTACTTGTTTTGTTTTACATATATTTAGAGTGTAATTTTGGTCTTTAAAACTTGCAATATATAAATTTATATGTAAATCTGATTTATAAGTATACTCGCATGAAACCCCAATCATACAAAGAAAAATAGCAAAAAGAATTTTGTTGACTGATCTCCTTAAATTGATATTAGATGTGTATCACAAACACCATCATCCGTGCTGGTTTCTCCATTGTCACAGGGGTCAAACAATTCCTCAGACAGTTGGTTCGCTCAGAACAAACATCGAGAGGGAAACATCATTGATGTTTCTCCATTATCAAGGACTATGCCTGACCCCCACCTCCCCCCCACACACACACACACACTCTCTCTCTCTCTCTCTCTGTCTCTCTCTCTCTGTCTCTCTCACCTTCTTTCTTCCGTACTGGTGTCACCATTATTACAGGAGTTAGACAATTCCTCAGAGTGGGTTCTCACAGAACAGATACTCTGAGAGGAGCCAGGAGGAAAGCAGAAACCAACAAACGCAAGACGAAACACTTCTTACTTTCAAAACAGCAATAATATTTCTAATTTGTTTACTCTCTTCCATGCATGTGTCTCCATTGATGCAGGGGTCTGACAATTCTTCAGACAGTGGGTTCTCACAGGACAAAGATCCAGAGGTGAAGCTAGACACCCTGAGGGAGGCCAGGAGGAAAGCAGAGACCAACAAACTCAAAGCAGAGGCCAAACTAGATGTCATGAGAAATGCAGGAAGTAAGCCCACTCACTGAAACTCATCTATTAAAGACCCACTGCACTACTTATAGCTACTTGTGCCCTCTATATAGCAAACAATACCTAATCGGTGACCATCGGTCCCCCATGGTCCCCTTTATCTTATGTTAATTGAGAGCTGATTTGATGAGATAACCATCTGCTGGTGACCTTGCAGGGAGGTCTTATCCCCCTGGCCAAACTAGTGCAGAGGGGCTTCAAAGACTGGTAAAAGAAGGAAAATTGAGAGGAAAAAAGGATAAACTCATTAGAAGTACATCTTGTAAAGACATGAAGTAGTTTAGAAACACTAGGCTTGTTTAGATTCTCATTTGAGATTCTCATTTTTCGAAAGGTTTTATTTATAGTACATCCTTTCAAACAATTGCATAATAATATGATCACGAAGGTCATCTTAAGAGGACTTGCATTACACCATTATATTAGCTATAGAAATAGAGTTTGGTTTACATGTATGTAAAATATTAATTTAATGTTTACACGCTTCAAAACGCTATTAAATTGCTTTTTTTTATTGTGTTATGTTATGGTTGAAAGTAGAGAATTTTAAGTTACATTGTATCAACAACAAAAATATATATATAAAAGGGGAAAAAAAGGGAGAAAAATCATACTATTTTTCTCCCATTGTATTTCAGTTGATGTTGAGGAATGGCTGAACAGTGCATATGAAGCAATAGCTAAGGAAGCCGAGATAGAGGCACAAACCATGCTTCAACAGCAACATTCTCAACAGGAGCAGCAACATTCATTAGTGGAGCAGCAACACTATGAAGCAAGCCATGAGGAGTTAGATGATGGTGATGATGATCATCACCCGCAACATGCACCACATGTGGTAAGCAACGGATAACCATAGTTTCTTTTGAGGTTGTGGAGATTTCATTTTTTGTGCAGAAGGTTCTCTTAACTCTAATACCTCATTCACACCACTGAAGCCAACATCAGAACGACAAGACGGAACAAAACATTAATTACCCTGAATGGCAAAGAATTGTTCATTTTGGATTGGGGCTGGAGTCGGTTAGGAAAAAGGCGATTCACTTCTTTTGTGTTTGATTCTTTTACAAACTTTCTGTATATTCCACTGTTTTTTCGACCTGATGGGTTTCCTTAATATTTAGTTCTTCTGTTAAGATTTTAACCTGAATTATTATTTGAAGAGATGAGATGATAAATCACTTTTAGAAAAGATTATGAAATTGATTTACAAGGAAAAGGAAGGAAAAGAGTCCTTTTTTCTATCTGTACACAGAATACAGATTTTGGGTCTGACATTGGGTCACATTTTGTACAATGACTAGATTAGTCAAGGATCAAGTAGGCATTGTAGATTAAACAATTACATTTTGCTCATATATTAATTCCTCTGTCTATCCTTTTTTCTTCTATCTTTTCCAGCGTGAGCTCCATTCGTATAGCATCACAAGTTTTGATTCGGTAGACGATTTTGACCAATCTTATGATGACCAGGTCAGTCAGGGTTCCAGTGGACATTCCATCAGCAGCAAAAATCCATCCAAATGCACAGCCATCTTTGATTACACAGTAAGTCATAAACTAGTTCTATAACACTGTTATCAACTGCCAAACTAATAATTTATGATTATCACGGGGCAGTTTCCATCGGTAATAGAACTGAAGGAAAAGATATGAGAAAAAGAATATCTCTCTTTGATCTTCATAACAATAATCATTTTGTATGTAACTTAAAAAAAATATTTGTCAAATCTTCAAAGATTAAGTGCCTGAACAATTCAACATCTTTTTACTATTTTGAAAACGTTTGGTATAATTGACAAATCTATTTTGGATAATACTCTTTTCATTCACAGCTGCCTTTCCAAGAGTTTATGGGGCAGATTGTTGTTAGCCTCGATATACCTTCTAGCTGTCCACTCCTGATCAATCTTGATGATATCTTTTATTCTAGGCACAGCGTGATGATGAGCTGACCATCAGACTGCATGACGTCCTGGAACTGATTGAGGAATCAGAAGGAGACGGCTGGCTCAAGGTAGGTCACTCAGAGGTCACTCAATAGGTCACTCAGAGGTCACTCAGAGGTCATTCTCTAGGTGATTCATGAGAGGAGTTTATCAAACTTGGTCGCCCACAGTCCTTCGCATTTCCAAAGTAAGCTGAGAATAAAAAACATTTAGTGGCAATGGTTGAAATACATGTTCTTTTTTTTCCTCCCCTTTTTATTAGCTCTTTAAAAAAAATCTTTTGTGCTCCATCAGTGCAGTACACCATACACATATTTAATTAAATTGAATTGAATTGAATTTCCACATTTCCATTAAAAATACAGAAATAAAGTTATATACAAAAGTAAAAGTAAGAAAAGTAAACAAACATGAAATACATGCAAATTTAGAAGAAAAAAGGTTAAATTTACACGACTTGAAAAACATACAATGTAAATTGTTAATACCTTGTAAATATTTTCTAAATTGAAATTCCTGGTCCTCTCTCCAGGCGAGAAACCAACATGGAGACATGGGTTACGTCCCAGAGAACTACATCGAGGTTGAGAAGCAGCAACGGCTCTCCTTCAGCACCTCACCCAAGGGAGATGCAGGGGGGCAGCAGCAGCCTGGACAGGTTCTAGGGCACGCCTCTTCCCAATCCTCCATGGACTATGAGGTGCAGGCTGTCATGGGTATCCAAGGGAGTGGTGAGGACTCTGGAAGACCTGCAAGTAAGTCCCTTCTTCTTCTTCTTCCATTTTGAGTACATACCTCTTTACAGAGTATTATCGTACTATACTGGGGTGTGTGCAGGTGGACAACTACACCGGGGTTTCCCCCTACTCTTATATGAATAGTGCAGTGGGTTCTTAACGTGCAAAGGTAGTGAGGTGCAGGCTGTCATGGGTATCCAGGGGAGCGGTAAGGACTCTGGAAGACCTGCAAGTAAATTGCTTGCTGTTGCCTTATAGAAATTTCATGTGACAGACATAGATGGCTTCCGTGTTGCCACAGATGATGTGTGCGGACAGGACTAAACAGAAATCCCTTTATTTATTCATTTCAGTTTCTGACGATGGTCATGAAATAAAGTGATTGAAAATTTGAGAACTTGCAAACACGACTCTTGTTGCTTTCTGTTTAGCCTATAGATGGATTGGTGTATGGAGTTGGTAACTTGATTCTTAAAGTAAGCTAGTTGAAAAACAGAGCTTATTTCATCCAATATGATCCAATTTCAAATTTAAATAAAGAATTTTTGGTAAGATCCTTAAAGTACTTGTCCAGAGCACCTAAAGATTTAAAATTCTTTGAAGATGGTTAGTGAGGATGTGACAATACAATGAATATTTCAAGGTTATTATACAATAAAATACAGGTACAGAATCTGCTAAATCCTGCTGAAAAAAGAATCAGTTTAAACAGCAGTGCTCTTCTTTTTTTGCAAACCCTTGATACCACATCTTAATATTGAACCTGCTAATACAACAAATTGTGCAATCTTGTCTTTAAAGCAATCTAAGACCTTTCACACTCCATATAGCACTGTAGAATCCATATTAACTGCCAACCACTCATAATTTGGGGCCTTCAAATTTACATTTTGAACCATAGGTTCCTCTCTTTTTCTGATTATTTGTGTAAAGATAGTATACCATATTCTTTTTGCCTGAAGAGATTCCTAATTTCTGCTGTGAAAGAAAGGTTGGCAGGTATGAGAATTCATTGACAAATGTATGATGATCTTACAGCCTGTCTGCACTAGTTTGGCCAGGAGGGATTAAACCTCCCAACATGGTCACTGACAGGTGGTTATCTCATCAACTCGGCTCTCAATTAACATAAGGAAAGGATGATCATGGGGGACCAACAGGCACTGCTTAGGCATTGTTTTCTATATAGAGGGAGCAAGTAGCCATAAGTTGTGCAGTGGGGCTTTAAAAGATGAATGATTGTATCTGCTATTTTTATGTTTTCCAGTTTGCATGGTGAGAGCTCTTTATGACTATGCTGGTAGCTGCCAAGAGGAATTATCTTTTGTGGATGGTACAATCTTCAAGCTCCTTCGACGGGATGAGAATGGAATCGATGATGGTTTCTGGGAAGGTGAACTCAATGGAAAGATTGGCGTCTTTCCGTCACTTCTTGTTGAGGAGCTGAACTCGGAGTCCCGGCAGAGTTCGAATGATGTAAGTTCATCTTCTGTGTTCATTTTCATCTTTGAATTTATTTTTTTATATTTGGGGGATAGGAAGATTCATATAAAAGTTGGCCACAACACAGGGTTTAATCCCAACAGTGGTTTGACGGACAATGATAATTTAGAAAGACCCTTACATTTGAAGAAATGTTTCATTTACTTCTTTCCTGTCAAAAACTTTTTTGTGTATGTGCAGTATCTATAAATTATTTGGCAGTCTATGGATTTAGTCACTGAAAAACAAAACTTTAAGATAGATATTGCAAGAGCCAATAGTTTTTGTTAATATCCCTTTGTTTGAAATAAGTCCTGTATTATATCTGATTTTACTCATTAAGGTATTTTTAGTGCTCACCAAAATCTAGGTGCTGATAAAAGAACTAACAAATTTTATGACGTAAGTGTCTTGCCATAACAAATCAAACATTATATAGGTTGCATGATACTAAATCTTTTACAATGTATTGTAAACATGTTATTGTTATAATGTACCAATATGAAATTCAGGTTTTATTTATATGTGAATGCTTATACTGTATTTTTCCCTCGGAGATATTTTTAGATATTATAGCAGTAGTCACTCTAGCTTAGCAGCTCTGTTGAAGTCTCTATATTTGTATCTTCTCTGTTACCTTTCTTACCTCCCATTCCAGTCCAAGTCCAAATCTAGGTCCAGGCCCAAGTACAGACCGCACAGATGTGTGCCCTCTATCATAATAGATGATGCCCATTGTTCGTCCAATGATTCTTGGACCTGTTCCTCAGAAGATAGTTATGCCGTTAAGCCCTCCTCTAGATCCTTTTTCTCCAATCAGCCCCCTCCTCATTCCCGTCGCCCTCCGCAGCGGACATCCCCCAGACATCCTATCGCTGCTCGAAAGGCCAATCGGAATTCAGTTGGGAGGTCTATAAAAAAAGCCAAGAAAGTAGAATATAAGAAAGGTCCCAAAAAGGGAACTCACCGTTACCCTGCTAGCCCAAGCCAAAACCCCATTCCCATGCGCAAGATCCAAGATCAGAGCAAACGCCCCCCAAAATTAATCCCATCTCGTAAATCCCCGTCAGCTCCTAAATGCAAAGAATGCATCCAGTCAGCACGAAAGCTACCTCCACTACCTGAGCCAAGACGTGACCCTGTTGAAATGGGAAGCCACAACAAGTGGTTCCGTATCCAATCAACAGACGACACAGTTCTCAAAGCTTCTGGTCTCGTTCCACATCCCCGTGCCCCACCACAAGTCCAGCAATTCTCCCAAGGTGCCTTGGACCGGACCAAGAGCCCTTCCCTCAATACCCTCAATAGCAACATGAATCAATCTGGTGGTGTTGTCCACTATGAAGTCTTAGCTGAACAAATCAACAAGAGCAAGAGCAAGACCCTGACCCGTGCCAAGTCCTGTTGGGATTGTAAAGAGAGCCAGCCTTGTCGATGTAGACCCCAGTTACCCCTTCCTTTACACACTTACCATGACACTGGTCTCCAGAGACCTGATCAACATAGACAACCCCCTCAAAGACAAAGACATAACCAAGCCCCGTGCACTCCAGATCCACAAAGGCAAGGGCCATACAGACAAGACCCTCACAGACGAGACCCCCAAAGACGAGACCCGCAAAGACAAGACCCTCACAGACGAGACCCTCACAGACGAGACCCGCAAAGACAAGACCCACAAAGACAAGACCAACGTAGACGAGACCCTCAGAGACAAGACCAACATAGACGAGACCCTCAGAGACAAGACCAACATAGACGAGACCCTCAGAGACAAGACCAACATAGACAAGACCCTCAGAGACAAAACCAACGTAGACGAGACCCTCAGAGACGAGACCCTCAGAGACAAGACCAACGTAGACAAGACCCTCAGAGACAAGACCAACGTAGACAAGACCCACAAAAAGCAGGTCACCACATACAAGATTTTCACAAACAAGAACAAAAGAGACAAAATGATCACAGACGAGACCCACAAAGACAAGACCTACAAAGACAAGACCCACATAGACAAGGCCCTCACAGACAAGACCAACATGTACAAGAACAAAACATACTTAATCATCATAGGCAAGGTCCATGCAAAACAGACCCACACATAGAAGTGAGACTAGACCAGCAGAAACAAAACTCCTATTGCCAATTAAAAACAAGACAAGACTTATACGGAGAAGACCCACACAGACAAGACCCACACAGACAAGAGCCTCAAAGACAAGACCCTCAAAGACAAAACACACACAGTCCAGACCTGCCCAGACAAGACCTGCACATACAAGAACTAAAGAGACAAAATCATCACAGACAAGACCCACAAAGACAAGACCAACATAGACAAGAACAGCACAGACCTGACCCACACAGAGAAGACCCACACAGACATCAAACTAGACTATACCATCAACTGGAACAAGACCAATCAAACCAACTGGAACAAGACCAAGCAACAAAAGCAAGAACAAGTCAAGACCAAAGCAGACTAGGCCAGCACAGTCACCCACATGGACAAGAAGAGCGCATAAAAGGCCCACAAGGAAAGGACCAAATTGAGCAAGATGAATCCAGGGATTATGTAAATGGACCTGAGGCACTAGGATCACTCCAACAAGAGATACAGAAACAAGAGATACATAGACAAGGTTCAGAAGTGGACAAGAAACAAGCCTTGAATGAATCCAAATGCAACGGAGGGCCTAAGAAAGAGACTGCAAAACATGGCAGTAGTACTGAAGACCAGTCAGAAGAAGATAAGGCTCTTCGTAAGTTAAGGTTCCTCAATTCGCGAAAGAGTCTGGAGCAAAAATTCAGCACTCCCGTGCTCAATCGGGAAACAGAAACATGTGTTTCTGACCTAAAAGATAAAGAGACAGAAGATAACAATCGCAATAAAAAAAATGTACATGTAATGTTGGAAACTGACAAAAACAATAGAGTGGCCATATCAAATAGGCCAGATGCTGAAGCGACGATTCAGACATCATGTAAACAGAGTAATGAGGGTGAATCCTGTAGCCAAGAAAATGTGACATCCCTTTCAGGGGTAATTTCTAAAGAGGTATCAAAAGGACAATGTGGCAAAAAGAAAACGACTTTCTCTTTTGCTAACCAAAAGAGGGAAGGAAGAAAGTTGAGCGCTAGCTTTAATATTGGAAAATCTAGTGCACGAAGCTTGCGTGAAGAGAAGAGAGCAACGTCGATTCCGGATCTCAGTCTGCTGGAAGGCATGTACAGCACAAGAATAGGCCCACCAATCAGTCCTAGAACAGAAAGTCTTATCAAGAAGCCTCCACCTCATGGTATCCTCAAACAGTCACAGAGCCTGGACTACAGGAAGATTAAGGGTCCTCCATATAGTCTAGACTCCCTCGAGACCAAGTCCATGTCTAACGGTCCTAAGCGGGATCACAGCTGTCCTGAGAGGCTTTCGGATTTCTGCACTGCTGTTGTCGAAGAAGAGGAGGAAGAGGTTAAAGGTCGGCCCCACATTGATCAGTATGCAAGAGTTGCGAGGAATCGACAGGAAAGGTCAAAGGTTAAGGCACAGGGATGTAGGCAAGAGACCCAGGAAGCCATGAAGAGTCCCATGGGGGTAGAGCGCCGTTCTGCTTCCCTCGATGAAGCTTGTCAAGATGATTTGGATAGATCTAGAAACCAGGACCGGAAATCTAGTTGCCCCACTGCATCCCTCATCTTTCATCAAAGGCAAAAGGAGAGCATTAGCCCCCCTAACTACCGCAAGGCAAACACTCTCAATTCCTTAGCTGTAACGAATAATAAACGAGTATCCAGTAGGGTTATCAGTCCCACCCTAGAGCGTCATCTGAGAAACCTAAACTCCTTCTGGTCTCAGAATCGAGCATCGGTCGTTGTTAACGGTCCCCACGATCCCTCCTCCACCATGCCCCCAGTGACTCCCCCGAGGAGAGAATCCAAGCGAAGCAACTCCCTGTGTGCAGATTCCTTGTTTGATGATGGGAAACAAAGGGCTATAAGGTCCCGCAGCTGCTCTCCGACAAGAAACAGACAAAGTGTCTTGGCTTTCCCCATCCAACGGGATCCCCTGCGCTCCTCCAATATCCCCTCTTACCCCACCACTTCCACTACTACCAGTACCCCTACCACACCCACCAGCACTGCTCTAGCTCCCTCTGCTTCCCGCAGTCCTTGCACCAGCCCTCGGAACAGCCCAAGACTCTCCAGGAAACAGGCACGCTATCCTCACATCACTTTTTTGCTTGCCTGCCATGGTCTTATTTTCTTGATGCATCTTGTTGCAACACCTCTTTTGAAATTGTCTTTTTAATTCCCTAAAAAATAATAAAACAAGACCATTCCACTCTCCAAGATTGTTTTCCTAATTTTAGGAGTATTATGATTATGATGCAATTGCTATAGAAGAAATATTTTATTTGTCATTTGTCATTATCAACAATAAAAAAAATTATGAACTAATGACCATAAATTGAAGCATGTACAGCGATCTCATACCACTTTCTACAAATTTATCCTTAACACAGTTGATGCAAGTCTGATTTTGAATGAATGTCTTCATTTTGGTAAACTTGGTTCTCTGTTTTGTGTTGCATGACTTTGATCTTCTGTTTGTATCATCTTTTGTTCTTATTCATCATCTCAGATTGAAAGCTAATATACAAACCATATGATATTGAGTGTTCTGAAAACTTGTCTGTCATTCGTTTTCATATGATATGGAATTATCGAAAGTTGGATGAACAATCTGTACTCGGATTCACCGGCATTTAGATTTGGATTTATAAGCTTCTTTGGAGAAGGTTCCATATCTAATGCATGTTGCTTTGCATGATGGAGTAGGGGTTGATGATAAAACCTTTACAGTAAGATTGTTTGTGATACTTGCATGAATGACAAGAAAGCTAGGTAGCTTATTTGGTCAGATTGGTCAGATTTATTGCCTTATGTCGACATATAGGACTACCAATATGACACAAGGCCAGTTGTGCATGCATGCAAGTATTGTTATATGGCCTCCAGAAGTATGCTCCACCAACAGATTTAGACTTGGACGTTTCCAAAGTTTTGACCTTTCATGACCATATCTATGCCACATTTTGATGCGTCATCCACATTATCCATATTTACTAAGGAGTTTAGAATTTTGACCTAAATTTGCGCCATGCATGCACACAATGGTATAAAGACTTCACTGTACTACCCATGGGTTCCCACACCAACCATGGTCCTTCTTGAACGATACAATGCTTTAATAGAAACCCTTCTCAATGTGTTTTCAATCCTCTCCATCCATCCATCACAGGGAGAAACAATGCCTGGATCCGCACCGGAATCACCTGAATACGAGAGCGCCGAAGCGGCCTTGTTCTCTCCGCCCCCCTTTGCACCCCCTCCTTTTGCGCCCCCTCCCCTTCCACCCACCATCGTCACTGATCATGACCCTGACTATGAGGAGGTTGATAAGGGACGCCCAGCATCAGCTAATGAGCTAGGTATTGATCAGGTCTTTAAAAAAAAAAAAAATGTTGTATTGCCCTTTAGGTGCCAAAACATGCGTCGGTCGGAAATCTTTTTTTTTTTTTTTTTTACTAAATAATTTTATTTTTTTACTCCCTCTTTGGGCTGATATTTCTAACTTTTGGTAACAAAAAGAAACTTTTTTAAAAAGCCGACCGTAGATTTCAAGATTTTTGGGTCGGTCGCAAAGGGCAATACAACATCTGTCAGAAGTATAAGTTCACAGACTTTCCATTGAAATGTTTGTATTAAAATTGACATGCATTTCAATGGATGTCGGTGAACTTGTACTTATGTTTTATTAAATGCTCCCCTGTATACTAATTTTATGCATACTTTTTTTAGCAAGACTTTCTTGTGAAAACTTAAAAGCTTGCCAGTCAATTGCCAGACATAGCAACAACTTATGTATACAATGTATCTTTCATCCATGGAGGTGCCATTTTTCATAGCAGTTGAATAAAATGGCTGGTAATCAGGATTTAGGTAGATAAACATGTATAAAATCTGTACTGATGTTGTCAACTCCATATAAGCCGGTTTTTCAAGAGGGTTTTATTTTTCATGCCTAGCATAGCACAGAGACAAATTTTCCATTTTTGTTAACAACCAGCATTATCCTTTGCATTCCATTATAATATCTTTGCTATTGTTTTCTTGTTCCAGCATCTCCGCCTGGTCAATTTGCTTACATGAGGCAACCATCCTATGTAGAATGCACCAGGTCGACACCAGCGAGTCCTGTTTCGACAACGCCCATCTCAACATCCATTAAACCAGTAAGTTTGTCATCTCTTGATATTACATATAATTCATAGCTATTAAAGATAGTCCAAGTACAAGTACAACATTTGCAAGGATTAACATTCAAATTTTTAATTTGTTTTTAATTAAAATGCAAGAATGGTGAATTGATTACAGGTAAATGTACAATGAAACCTGTATAGAAAGACCACCAGAGGGAGACGAGAAAAGCAGGTTCCTTTAATACAAGTGTCATTGTGAATCTCTCTTCAGGGGAGATAAAAAATGTGGTCTTTATAGACAGGTTGTAGCTACAGCAGGTTTGACTGGATGTATAGTTGTGTGCATTTTGAGAAGTACATGTACATGTGTACGTCATTAGGGCCCCAGCTTTAAATATAAAATAACTTAATAGCATGTGCAATTTCGATATTGATGTTGACTCTGTACTACTGAGATGGGAGCTCATAATTTTGCGATTGATTGGAGGACTTACGATTAATCACAACTCTCTAGAAGACAGCCTTGGCAACAGATTACAAGTCAGAAGACATTTCTTCATACTATATATGTTCAGTTCAAGTGAAACATTGCATAGAGGCAGTTGAGTTGGCATTTACATATATATATATATATATTTCTACTCTTTCCGGTAATGGCTTGCTATTACAGGGGGGGGGGGGTCCAATTCCTGAGGTATTCTGACTATTCTCACCTATGACATACAAAAAAGGGGTTCAGATCCCTTTGACCCCCTCACCTGGCCCCACCCGTGTATTAGACCTATATTTTTGACTAATTAATACTTATTTGTCTCATGGCTTATTCTCAACAGGCGAGGGCAGCACCACCTCCACCCTCTGCAAAGAAGAAAGTGGAACGACAAGCTTCTGATCCATACGAAAATGCACCTGTCTCATATGTATAAAATCAGGAAGTCATTGAAAGGTTAGCTCGTATCTATTCTGGACTCTCCAAATTAAAGGATACCAGATGGAAGGAAGATAGCTGTGTGAAGCATCACCGTGGCAACCAAGAGTCTAGCCATCATTGGTGGATCAAGCATAGAAAACTCTGTTTATATGGGATGACATTTATTACAACCAATCTGGAGAGTAGGTGATGAAAGAATGTTTTCATCTTTTGTTGAAAGAACAGAATATAGTATTTCATTGAGGATGAGCTTTTTAGGTAAAATTGTGTGGAGACCATCTGCAAAATATAGTATGATCATTTACATTTTTGTTGTTTGTAGTATATGAAATACAGTATTGTCCAAACCATAAAATATAAGACTAGTATACCCCATTTACATCAACAAACTGGTATGAAACGAACAACTGACCAAACATGTTTGATTGATTGATTGGTTTTATAGAGATTCTATAATCACATTCATACAACTGAAATTACATGGATAACTATCATACGTATGTACATGTATAAAAGAAATATATATAAAATTACAAAGGGTTATATATATATAGATGATTGTTAACATTTGTATGAATTTTTGGTATATAATTATGAATCCTTTTCACGAATGGCCAATAATCAGTCGATTTCGAGTCCCATTTGGATTCAGGTTGGTGTAATGACTGGGATATTAATACTCTGTGCAAGCTGGTCAGATTGTAGAATTCTTGCAGTGTGAGAGACAATAAAAACTGATTGTTTGTTGTGTAATATATGATGATTATCTTATAAGTGCAATTATGTGATTCTAAATTATGTATTGAAATGCAGTGCTAATTAATTTGATCAAAGGAAAAGTTCTTTCAAAAGTATTTGATCCAAACATTTGATTAGTCTTGAAAAGTAAAAATTTAATTTGTTTAATTGATAAGCAGTTTATTGCTCAATTCAGCCTTTCAAATTAAAATGTAAGGTTAAAAAAAAATATAAGTAAACTGTTGAAGAATAATGAAGTCCATCTTTTCATGAGAGGTCCGATGAGTTGCAAAAAACAGTGTTATATCAGTGTTGTGATTCAATCACCTGTAATTTTACAGCAAGAAGATGAATCTGTAATACCACTCTCAAATTCACAAATATACACACCCAAAAGTTTTCTAGTTTTACAGTAGGAGAAACCATGACAATGGCCAGTAAACCTTTCTACCTTTTGGTCAAATAGATGAATAATTGCTTGTTCAGATATGGTGGGGTAAACTGCCGCAAAAAAACACTGCAATTTTGTTCTGGTGTAAAAGAATGCCAACTGTACGCAACAAAGGACTTGAGCGTGTTCACTACGCTCTGTGTTATAAGATGAAGAAATGTGAAGTCGTCTAAAAAGACAAAAATCTCTTTTTTCTGCATCATATCTGAACAAGATTTTAGTGGACAATAGTTTTATTTGCACCCTTAACTCATTGTGTCCTACCATTAAGTGTGCTTAAATGCAGAGTACTAGAATCGAGAACTATAACGAATATACAGATTATATTTTATCTTCCAATACTACATAATTTTTGTTGAATGTTACTTTAAAGCAAGCTATTTTTGTAATTATTTTGTAGCTACGAACATAAACATCTTTGCATTCTAGCTGCTGTGCTTTGATATATGAGGACAAATTAGTATGTTATAGAAGTGTATCTATTTGCCAAGATCAACAACGTTGAACATTGATTGTATGTAAATAAGATTTTTTTTTATTGAATGAATTATTTTCTATTTTGTATATACTTGAACAAAATATCTCCAGAAATCTCATTATATTATTACCGGTACATAGAAGTAGAAGAGAGATATATATCTCAATATTAAAACATAGTGTAATCAAACTGTCTTTTTCTTTTGGTACTTTTGGTAATTAAATTTTGTATGAAATTCCATGCATCTTTGATAAAGAACAAAACCAAAGTTTGTCTACTGCAGACAATAGGCAGTATTGATTCTAGATGCATGATGGGGAGCCCTATGTCTGCACACCTAACAATCGACTTTAAAAATCACAAAGGTTTTCTTGTACAGTCGAACCTGCTTTAGTGACCACCTGTCTACAAAGACCACATTTTTGGTTTCCCTTGGAAATGGTTTCTCATTGAAACATGTACTAAAGGAACCTTTACATAAAGACCACCTGCCTATAAAGACCACCTTTCTTGTCTCTCTTGGGTGGTCTTTATAGACAGGTTTCATTGTATATTCCTCTAATGCTTTAATTATTCCTTATCTTCTAAAGAGTAATTGTGCCAAAGATCAGATTTCAAGCAAAACGAAAGTTCACAAGAAAAGGCAGCTGTGTCTTAGGTTGAATTGCAAAAAGAAAGGTTCCAGTTCAGTAATTTCAAGTGAAATATTACATTTCAAGGCTAAAATTAACAATGTTTTTTCTCAATATTTCTGACTTTAATTTTTGAATGAATACATATCACTATATTACAGATGAGAATTGGGTGTTGAATCAGAATTACGCAGTTGTGTGTAGAATAGAAACTGTGCAGACATAGGCTTTCTAGCCATACCAATAAGATTTCAATTTCGATTTTCATCCATTGTGTATCTTATATGAATGTAGCTGTTACAGTCAGTAATCTTTATAGGGTCTACCGGTAGGTAGTTTTCAGTCTTCAATTAAATAACTTCTAACAGTGTAGTATATTTAATGTGCCTTTGGTTTTGTTAGTGTACTTTTCTGTGACATTTCTTTTTGTTTTATTTTCTATTCTATGTCAGAGGATCAAATTCCTTTCCTAAATTATATACAAATTTTGAACTTTAGAAGTGGTAGTATATTTTTGTATTAGATGGTGCTTGTAATCTGTGTTATGGTTTATTATAAAGAGTTATCTTACTTTTTCATCTACATCTCTCAATCTCTGCATAATGCCTCTGTTACAAAACGTTTTGAATTCATTTATGGTGCTTTCTTGTGCAAAATCAAAGTATTGTCAAAAGCAGCTACCAAACATACAAATTGAATGTTGATAATCTGTATACATCTTCCAGCATAAAGGCAGATGTACCGGTAGGTATGTCATTGTGCCACTTGCAGAAGGTCGTTATTACGTG